AAATACACCGGAAATCGGCTTTAGAATATTCTTTCAATAATGAATAATTATCGGGTGAACTTATATGCTGTAATCTGTATATAAGTTTACATCCTAAGATAAGCAAGTCATCTATGAAAAAAGGTTATTATATTAGTTACGAAGCAAAATATTAAAAATACCAGTAAAATCCGGAACAACAACTGCCTTGATAATCTCTTTATTTTTGGACCTAACCTTATTTGCGGTTTTCCCCAGTCTTGAGCAAACGCTAAAAATCTTTATCTATCTCGCGATACACAAATATTTATATAGATATCGGAAACATGCGTAAACGACATAAATTGATGCAATATTACTTATTGTTCATTTCATAATATTTGAAATCAAACAAAGTTGTCAATCAGCATATTATGCATGTATAAAGCGCATTTTTGGGACTACAGATCAGTATTTTATTAATGCGATCGGCAATCTTTCCTGGCGAGAGTTACAGCAAAGTTTAAAATTATTGATTTCACGAAGTAATCTAACTCAAATTAGCCTAGGGCCTGCACATCTACACTATAGAAGAAAGCTTTTAGTGAAAATTTGTAGTTGATGCTAAGATCTCAGCCGAGCAACCAGCCAGCCAGCCAGACAACCAGCCATAACGAATATAATAGCGTATTTTTTACTCTAAAAATATAGGAATTTTTTTAGACCCAAAAAAGTTTTTTGTGCATATGATTCCGTTTTAACAACTTAAAGTCAATTCATAAAATTCAAATGTCAGAGTATTCCTGTTGCGGTGCCATAGAAAATTATTGTTTTCGGATCTGAACCATCATTTTGAAATCATAACCCAGTAAATGTACAAACTTGACGTCCAAAATTAAATACGATGATATCCAAATTCAAATGTCCACCAAATTTACGTAAAGTAACACGTAACTAATAACGAAATTTTAACGTCAATGCTGTGCGTCATTTTTCCGCACAGAAATCTAGTAACATAACTGTAGGATAAAGTTGCCTGCAAAATTCAGGTTTTACGCAGATCAATTTTTCCGTACTTTGCTTACATTTTAGGCAAATTTTCACCTAGTAATCAACGAATTATGAAAGTTAATGCGGTGTTTCAAAAAACACTGGTGAAATTGAAACGTTGATAATACGTTAAAGCTTCCACGTGTTTTGCATGTGCCATTTTATGGTTTTATTAACGTTTTCGGAAGACTTCATGTACCTTCATTTGAGCTCGAATAATCGCTCAAAGGGCGCCCAGGGGAAGGGGGGCATATCAGAGTAGTGTATACTGCGATCATACAATAGCTCGTGAGATGGGCCCCCATCTAGCATCAGCCTCTTTTGTCACGTGAAGCTATTAGTGGAGCTGCTATTCATGATGTTAATCAACATGCCACACGTTGTCTTCGTGCGGGTGGTAGACACTGAACAATTATTGAAATAATAAAAAATTGTTTATTTTGTAGTAAACTGAAAATAATATAAGGTTAGAGATGGAACTTTTTTACCTTCAAGCTGCCATAACTGGAAAATGAAGCAAGATCGGACGTAATTTCATCTGACAATCTATGCTTTTGTACCTACTGTATCTGGTATTACAGAGTGGATTTGCAAATTTAGGACACCCTGTATATTGCACGACAGAATTTGAAAAACTGTACAACCCAAAAAAAGACTTCCGACCCTAAACTGGAAGAAACCCTTTGTCTGACCTAACGCTTCAACTAGCAGAAACTAATAAAAAATAAATGCTTCCTCACACCCATGTGTTCAAAATTGCGTACGTTTTGGAAAGAACCCAACTCTAGCACTGAACCAAAGCAGTGTTTAGACACGCCACTTCCCTAGATACCGAGACAAGAGGTACTGCACTTTAAACCGGGGTAAAAACCACCAGAATGTTGCTCTGATTGCCGAGAAGCGGCACAGTTTTTACGAACCGCAGAGAGAACTCATAACGACTATATTGTCTATCGTGCACCATTTGAGTCTTTAAACTGCCACTGCATCGCCTACGGTGCCAGGATCATTAACATGCTTAGAAAGATTTGGTTTTGAATTTACAAATATGCCAGTATAGGAAATGTACGTGTACCGCTCCATATGAAATAGAACGGAATTAAAAGTATATGGAAGTATTTAAAGCCGCGTAATCGTAGTGATATTTTTATTGTGAAGTTGAAATTAATTGCCGCATTACAAAAGAAACTGTGCCACCATTTCGACGAAATTATTGTCGTGTGTTCATTTAAGTCCATTGTAAAATTGTAAAACTAATATAAAGTGGCGTAGACGGTAGAGTTTGCAATACGTATGGACATTTTTGTTTGAGATTCACCACAAAGTTAACGCTACCATTGCAGCTGTCTATATCCATAATTTTCAAAGGAGGCGGCATTTTTCCGGGGAGAAAGAAGATCCCAAAAGAAATCTCATCTACGTTAGTTAGGTATTGTACGTTATTTTGAATTGTTTACATTATATAAATTAGGGGGCGATTATTTTTAGGAGTTTGCATATTGATTTTGATGACTTTGATATTCCTGAAGAAATCGACCTATGAGAACCATTTGTATAAACAGATTCTGTATTGTACTTCGTTCATTGATAAGAATCAGTTTCAAACAAAGGATTTTGGTTATTTCGTTGCAGTGATTGGGAATTTTATATGCATTTAATTTCAATGTTAACATTTTAGTTGGATTGAGATTTTGTTTAGCATTGAGAAGGAGTTGTATATTTCCACAGGGGAATTTACCAATAATTCGTCATGAGGTGATATTTATATTTTATATTTATATTGATATGTGTAGTTCAAAATATTTAAATTTTAATTCAGCGTATCGTGTCATGACTATGTTTAAACATGCTCCCACTAAATTCAGCACACAATAACTTACTTAGTATTTAAAGACTTTAAGAATAAAAAAAAGGTCAAATCGATTTTATCAAGCTTTCTCGACTATGAATTGACTGTTTTAACATACTATATAACCATGACACGGTATAGATTAAATACTTTAAGAGAATGAGAATGGTATGTACCTACAATCGAAATATGTAATAAAATCTACGGAGGACCCCATTTGAAATTTAAAGGTTATCCTTTCCGGTGAAACCGGAAGTCACAAAAAACAATTGAAGCGCTTTCTAATGTATTACCCATACACAGTTGTCAAATTTCAGTCGATTTTCGTACAAAAACTGTAGACGCAACAGCTTATTGCGGTGTTTTTTTAAATAGGTATGCAGAATGCCTAACAAATTTGTAAGAGACTACTTATTGTGCCAAAGATCTGTTCCACCATTAAAAAATAAACGTAAATCATTTGCGGGTTTAGAATCCTTGGTAAAAAAATTTGGAAATCACGCAGAAAACAATCCCTGCGTTCGTGACTTGTTCTATGAAATAACGTAATAATCTCCGTAGTTTATATGGGGTAGGTCTAAACGTAGGTAGGTACTGAAATTCCCCATACGGCCGAACCATAAATGTATAATTACGTTTTTTTATTCTAAAGATTGAAAACCACCTTCAGCTTGTTATTTTGTGCTGAACACAATTCTCGTTACTCCACTGACGCATGTTTTGAAGCTTTGTTTTGATACTTCCTTTTTTTGTCACGCATATACCTCTGTTTTACATACTGAGCAAGACACTTTCTCATTCTTAGCTTAGGTAGCTATAAATCATTACCCTAAAGCGATTAGCGCAGATTTCGATTAATGAAGCTAATTTGCATGTTACGAAACATGATGAAGAGACTTTCTAGTCATCAGTACCTAATCACGCGAATTAATTATTCGCATCGATGAAGAAACAAGTTTAATTTCTTTGGCAGTGAGATTTAACGTTACCAATTTAGCCATACGTTGCCCCACAGCTGGAATGTAATTATCTCGGTGAATGATGCAAAAATGATGGATCTAATATGTTACCAAGGTCTCGAATTGGCCAACACTATATAATCTTTATTTCTTACATAATTCTGGTATATTGCAATTGATTATAGGGCGAACATTACGCACGATTTCAGGGAATTTGTTCGACGAAGAGTTAGGGAGTGAACCTGATTTAGCGCGATACGTTGGGTTTTCCCTTAGATCATATATGATCTAAGGGTTTTCCGGTGGGTGATTTACCTATCTAAACAACTCATGCGGCTCACGAGGTAAACAGCGAAGGAAGTGGGTATAATTTCATCGGGAGTGCCCGTGCGTTGAGGAAAATGGAATGTTACTCGTGGATGGAATGCAACATAATGCAAATTTGTCGCAAAACTTCGGTGATCTTGAACCCTCTACTAGTTTCTTTCCCGTCTTTATTTATGTAACGGTTATTTTAGATAAGAATAAGATGAGTGTTATTTTGGGATATGGGGCCATTACGTTTGATTAGATAAAAGTGGCGGAGAAACCCGCGTCACTGACGCACCTCCTCTACATCATACGATTCTTCCTTTCTCAACTTTTTATGTCTTAAATAAATACTCTTGTTTTACACAATGACGATGATTAATTTAATTGCAAGCGGAGGGAAGGAAATGTTTACAAGTTCAAATAATTGCCTAATCCCGCCTACGAATTAGAACTGCGTTTTTTTTGTTTACTTTTTAGTGCACAGAAATTTGGCAACGCGGGGCGGAATTCCCGCGTGTTTAAACGTCAAAGGGAATCATACATAACCTTTGATGGCGGTGACGAAACCTTTTTTTCCCTTTTTCAAGTGCGATAATTCCTCGTCGGTTCATTCAAGTTTAATTATTACATAGTTGATACGTTTAGCTCCGTATGTGTTGCCAATTTTTAGTGTGGGGAGGTATAAAAGCGATTTGCACAGGGAGAGCAATTCAGTTGTTTGAGTTCTTCACTTGAGTCAGTTGAGAATGCCTTTCGATTTCGAAGAAGTAAACGGCTATAGCCATATACATGGCACGGACATGACGCACGTCGTCGACGTCCGGACCGATACAATCACTAAGCCTACGGCAGCGATGCGAACTGCCATGGCAGTGGCCGAAGTGGGTGACAGTGTTTTCGGGGAGGATCCCACCGTTAACGAGCTGGAGAGAAGGTGTGCGGACCTTTTGGGAAAGGAAGACGCCGTCTATTTACCCAGTGGAACTATGTGCAATTTAATTGCCAGTAAGTACTGATGCAATTGCAATCGGTGGGACGAATTATATCATTCATTTTTTGCAGTTATGGTGCACTGTAACAAGCGAGGTGTCGAATTTATCGCTGGAGACAAGAGTCATACACACTTATTCGAACAAGGTAATTTATATCTTATTACATTTATAGGTTTATTAATTTTATTATGATTTAGGTGGACCTGCAGTACTAGCAGGAGTTCAATGCTCGTTAATTCCCAACAACCCCGATGGGACTTTTTCTTTGCAAGAAGTCGAGTCTAGAATCCGAATCAATACAGACTACCATGAACCATCAACTGCGCTTATTATCGTTGAAAATACGCAGAATATGTGCGGAGGAAGGGTAATTATTTTATTTTCATTTAATTCAACAACAAGGATTTATGCTTTCACACCTCGAGCAGAATTTTTGCAAAGTTACTTTTACTTCCTCATGATGCAAATCTCGTAAAACCAGTTTATTATTGTCATAAAAACAATGCGAATTGCCTTCAAAACATTACACATAAAAACAAGATTAATGAGTTTATTAGTTTTGCTATATCAAATGTTCTTTACATGGTTACTTTATCTTCGATAGAAATACACAGTTCCTTTTTTTTTGTCATGGCAAAGGCAGCACTTTTGTGCACATTTCTAGGCCTTTTTTTATGATCAAAGGTTGTCTTCTTAGCAACTGAAAGTATTTGTTAATTAGATTCGAATAATTGAGGGTCTTTGACCTATTTAACAACTTATTTTAATTTATCTTATCAATATTGAACAATAATCGCAGATTGGGTATTTTAAGACTGGCGCTCTTTTTTTGTTGCTATGTAAATATTGTTTTAAACACTTCTTATCATGTGTATTTGACGTCAGAGCATCATTAAGATCGAAAGATTTTTTCCTATCATTCCAATCAGAAGCAGATGTTGCAAAAGAAGATCAAAGATCACAGATACTTTTAACCACTTTTTAATGATTTCAATCATATAAACATATCCTCACTCTATCCTATTATGTGAACACTGATTGCTAATCTGGCATTATTTGACACTGGACTGCTAGTAATGCTGATAAAGCTATGAATAATATGTACTGCTGATGATACTCTTTGTTAGAAAAATGTAGCTTTGCCATCAAGTCAAGAAAGTTGCTAAGCAGAACATTTTCAATAAAAAACTTTTTTAAAGTGGCTAAAGTGAATGCTAAATACTAAACAAGTTGTAAATCAGCATATGCATGATGAAAGCGCATTTTTGGTAATGCAGATCAGTATTTCATTAGCAAAGTTTAAAATTATTGATCTCACGAGTAATCTATCTCAAAATAGACTAGAACTTGCACATCTACACTACATCAGAAAGCTTTTAGTGAAAATTTGAAGTCTCTAGCTATTGTAATTGCTGATATCTCAGTCGGACAGCCAGCCAGCCATAACGAGCGTTTTTTTAACCAAAAAGGCGCTAAAAATCGCAATTTAATTTTGGTTTCCCAAAATCACACATTCAATTTGGCATTAGACTGCACACATTCTTTTGTTTTAATTTCATCTGCCCTTGCTGTTAAAGAACTACTTTTATTGTTAAAAAAATCCAAACCAACAAATCGGTTTTTTAAAAAGGCTCTTTGTCATCAGGTGCTTCCATTGGAATGGCTCGATAGCTTAGCGAAAATCGCGGCAAACTACGGCGTACCGATCCACATGGACGGCGCGCGTCTAATGCACGCGGTCGTGCAAAGCAAGATTTCGGCGAAACGTATCGCCCGCGACATGGATTCGGTCTTCTTCTGCCTGAGCAAAGGTTTGGGATGTCCGATGGGTTCGGTCCTCTGCGGCAACAAAGGTTTCATCCACCAGTAAGTGTTTTCTGTCGCACTCCGCGGCGAAATTTTAATGTGACCTTTTTCTTTAGGGCTAAGCGTTTCCGGAAAATGTTGGGCGGCGGCGTGAGGCAAGTCGGCATTTTGGCGGCGGCCGGATTGGTTGCGTTAGATGAGATGATCGATCGCCTTCAAATCGACCACGATCACGCCTATCAAATCGCCAAAGGTAAATTAAACGCAATTAAAGAGCGGGTCCACAACTAATTCTCGTTTCAGCAATCGACGATTTAGATTCAGATATCATCCGTGTAGATCTGGAATCAGTGCAAACGAATATCGTTATCATTCATCTTGATAAAAGAACAATCACTGCAAAGACATTCCTGGAAAAGTTAGCAACAGTTTCAGAGACAGACGACATTAAAGTCAGTGTGAAGGCTAGTGCTTTTAACGTATCGCGTGTTCGGTTAGTGTTACATTGGGCCATAACCAATCACGATGTCGCGGAAGCAATTCGCAAGATAAGGCTCGTGATCAAGAAAATTCACAGCGAGCTACACATCAAATGAATTTGAAGTGGCTGATTGACGCGACGGTAGTCTTCTCATTAACATCAGTATTGCATTTGCATTGATAGCTTTATGATCGCAATACAACAGAGCATATGTCTCCAAATCTAAGAGCTTATTTTATGTAAATTCTCACTTCTCGGTGAAACTAACAGTTAAAGATACCAGTATTTTAATAAGATCTTTAGAGTAGTGCTTAGAATGTAGCTTTTGTATATTTATTTCTAAAAATATAGTGTTATAATATGTCCACTTGATTGCAAGTATGGGTGTAAACGTCACTAATAAAATCTACTTTGTACAAAGTAAGCAATGCGTTTTAATCATACCAATCTCAACTACAATTCAGTTCTTGGTTTTTTAAAGGGATGGTTCTTTTAAGGGTTGAAACTAAAAACAGTAAACAAAACTTAATTTAATATCTATATATGATTAAATTATTCCAAGTTGATGAATAACATTTTTCAATGTTATTTTTTTAATGATTACTGTCAATTTTTATTAATCATAATTTATCTCTGACAATTTCGATTACTGTTTGATCAATTTGTTTAAAATAAAATTTCGATTACAAACCTCAATCCTGTAATGGGTAGTTACAAAACGAGGACTGAAACGGCGCTTCTAAACATTCTGGTTTTACTTTGAAATGATAAAAAAATGTTACTTTCTTGAAAATTTGTGCCGACCGCTGGCTCTATTAGGTATTACGAAGTTTTGAAACAAAGTTTTCCAGGAGAATGGATCTTTTTTCCTCTATGCAAAAATCTCAATTTGTAACCATTTGCTACGTCACTGCCTTCATTCGTGACACATCCGGTGGGTTGTGAGAAAAATCAAATAATTGACGTTTGGAGAGTGCAGATTTCCGTGAGATGCATTTACACAAATTTGTTGTATATGATTTAGTTCGTGGGCGAGACCTTTGTTTATATGATCTAAGGGCGAGCCGCGAGACCCAACAAAAATAACCTAATCCCTCGTGAAAAGTGGTGGTTTACAGTGGCGCCCAACGGGGGGCCTCGAAATTAAGTTTTTGTCAAAGAATTTAGTGATTCGCATCGATGTTCTGTCAGATTATTTTGCAATCCACTTTTGTTTTACGCAAAGCTGCTGAATCAGTGAGTCGCTGTGTTCTATTTCGTATTGCTGTTAAGAAATGGCTGACGCTGCTGTCGTGTCTCCTACCTACTGAAGTGTTTCTACAGGGTTGTAATGGTTATAGTGTTGATAGCAAGCAATTATACATGAGTTCTTTATTTTAACTGTAAGATGTCGCTGTAGTTTTAAAGTTGTGTTTTAAGTAGCCGACATGTTATGATGACATTAAATTGCATTTTTAGTTTTGCGTACTTAATTATTTATTGTGCTTAATTCCTTAACCATACGCCTGAAGAACTTCATGAGGTTATGGGCCCAGTGGCCAGTATGTTACAATAGTGATTAAAAAGGTAATGGGAAGTTGGTGAATTAAGTCACAGGAAAAAATCGGGAAGCTGTTAAGTGGTGCATGAAGTACAATAGTACATGGAACATGGCGGACAAGCAGCAGAATTTTTTCTACGTGAAACCGTTTGATGGGTCATCAGCCGCTTTTTCTAACTGGCAATTCAGGGTTAAAATGCTTTTGGAACAACAGGGTGTGTCGGAGGCTCTGAAGACAATGTGGTGAATTGGAAAGTTTTAATAAAAAGGACGTTAAAGCTCGAATGGTAATAATACAAAGTATAGCGGATAACGTACTGGAAATGTTAAAAGATAAGAAAACGGCTAAAGAGATGATGGAAAGTCTTGACAAGACTTACGCAAGACGAGGAATTTCTACACAGGTAGCTTTACAAAGAAAATTTAGAAGTTTGAAGTTTGCTGGTGATGCTTCATTAAGCACGTTTCTAACACAATTTGATCAGACGTTATCTGAGCTAAAGACAGCGGGTGGAAAAATCGATGAAAGTGAAACGGTGTTACAGTTGTTGTCAGCGATGCCAGAAAGTTATCAGTCGGTAACTACTGCAATAGATGTAATGTTTTGTCAAAACGAAGAAAGTGTAGATCTAGACTTTGTCAAAAATAAGTTGTTGCTGGAAGAGTCGCGGCAAAGTAAAAATGTTGAACAAACGGATCGTAATCTTGCATTTGTGGGCCACGACAACAAAAAGTGGAAGAAGACATTCCAGAATCAAAGAGGGAGCGCTACTGCAAACAGCCAAAGTGGAAGTTTCCCATTCAAGTGCCATTTTTGTCATAAAGTTGGACATAAAAAGGTGGATTGTTGGCAAAGACGAAAACAACAAAGTTCTGGGTTGGGACATAATAACAACGTTCGATCTCAGGCTTCACACAGTGCACATGGTGCGGAAAATCAGGAAAATGAAGAAGAACCAGTGACATTTGTGAGTTCGTACGATGGTGAAAACGTTGCATCAAATGTGAACTGTAAAACAGGAAATGACGGTATGATCAAATTTATCCTTGATAGTGGGGCTACGAATCATTTAATAAACTCTAATTTTGCAAGTTATTTAACTAATGTAAAAGACATTAATTACAAAATTAAAGTTGCTAAAGAAGGCGAAACTATAACTGCGTTAAAAGAAGGTGATCTATTTTTAAAATCGTGCACAGGTAAACAATTGAAGGTGCAGAATGTGTGGTTATGTGACAATCTGTTGTATAATTTGTTGTCCGTTAAAAAGTTGGAAGAAAATTCACTAACAGTCGTATTTAAGGATCGGAAGGCAACAATATTGAAAGACGACAAGGTAATACTAAAAGCATATTTGGAAGGAAGCTTGTATGTAGTTTCATTACAATTTCAACCCCAGACACGTTTTGTTAATATGACATACAACGAAGAAAAAATGTTGCAACATCGAAGAATGGGACATTCATCCAAGTATCCTGCTCCAGAAGTTTGTGAAATCTGTGTTAAGGCGAAGCAAACACGGAAACCATATGTGCCTATACGGAATGAAAGGAAACCAACATGGATACTGGAAGTAATTTCGACAGACATTTGCGGTCCCATTAATCCATCAACGTACGATGCTAAACAGTACTTCATAACGTTTATCGACCACTTCTCACATTTTTGTGTGGTGTACTTATTGAACCGAAAAAGCGAAGCATTAGAAAAGTTTCAAAATTTTGTCGCAATGGCTGAAGCGAAATTCAATGTACGTGTCCATCGATTAAGGTGCGACAATGGAGGCGAATATTCCTCTAAGTTATTTCAAAGTTTCTGTCAACAAAAAGGGATAAAAATTCAATATACTGTACCGTTCAATCCACAACAAAATGGAGTTTCAGAGAGGTTCAATCGAACCATTATGGAGAAGGCAAGATGCTTAATCTTTGACTCTGGTTTGGAGAAAATATATTGGGGAGAGGCAGTGCGAACTGCTGTCTACTTAATTAATCGATTGAAGACGAGAGTTTTAGCAAATGATTTAACTCCTGCGGAGGTTTGGTATGGAGAAAAGCAGAATCTAGACAAGGTGAAAATATTTGGCTGTAAGGCATATAATCATATTCCCAAAGAATTAAGAAAATCGAAGTTGGACCCTCACACACGAAAATTATTGATGATCGGGTATGCTGATAATGGGTACCGGTTACTAGATGTTGAAAATCAAAAGGTCGTACATGGAAGAAATGTAGTCTTCGACGAAGGAATAGGCGATACGAAACCTAGACGAATCTTACTCGACAGTGACGCAGAAGAATCTACGAGAGCTGAGAACCCCGAGGTAAACCAAGATGACATAGAGAACTTGAACGACAGGGAAATTCAGTCAGACAAGGACGTGGAGAAGAGACAACCAACTGTACGGAGGAGTGTGCGTAATAAGAAGCAGCCGAAATATCTCGACGACTATTATTTGGATGAAGAAGATGATTTAAATTTATTTGCAGCATTGTCAACATGTAACTTAATCACAGATGTTCCGAAAAACTACAAGGAAGCCTTAGAGGTCAATCAAGGTTGGGAGAAAGCGATACAAGAAGAGCTAACTGCATTAGAAGAGAACAATACGTGGCAACTTGTGAGAAAACCAGAAAATGAGACTGTCATTGACTCAAGGTGGGTGTTTTCTGAGAAGATCGTGGATAACGAAAAGAAGAAAAAGGCACGGTTGGTAGCACGCGGCTACAAACAAGATGAGGTAATTGAAAATGTGTACTCACCTGTCGCACGTATGCCAAGTTTAAGGTTTTTAATTTCTTTGTATGTTGAATTTGATTTATTTGTAATGCAACTTGATTTTAAGACAGCATTTCTTAATGGTACACTAAAAAATCCAGTTTATATGAAACCACCTGAAGGTTTAAAAATTGAAAGTTCTGGCATAGTTTGCAAAATAAATAAAGCCCTATATGGACTTCGTCAATCACCGAAATGTTGGAATTCACTTTTTAACAGTTTTATGATTAAATTAGGTTTTAAACGTTCTAAAAAGGATCCATGCCTGTATTTTAATGATCAAACATTTGTTTTAGTTCACGTTGATGATTTAATCATGTTTTCTAAATCTGAGGATAGCTTAACTTTAGTAAAAAACAAATTAATGGAAAGTTTTAAAATGAAACAATTTCAAAATACTTGTATAAATTTTCTTGGATTGCAAATAAGTAAATTTGAAGGTAAGGTTTATGTTTCTCAGAGTAAATTGATATGGAAAATCCTAAAGAGGTTCAACATGCTTGACTGTAAAAGTTCAAATTTACCAATTGAATATAAATTGCAACTAGGTGAAGCTAAAAATTGTGTCAGTCATGAAAATTTGCCCTATAGAGAACTTATCGGATCACTTATGTATATAATGTTAGGATCACGCCCAGATTTAAGTTTTTCAGTAACATATTACAGTCAATTCCAAAATAATTATACTTTTGAACATTGGACTAATTTAAAAAGGATTCTGAGGTACTTGAAAAACACATTTGATCATGGTTTGATGTTTTCTAAAGGTAGTTCAGAGTTAAACATTAATGCATATGTCGATGCGGACTTTGCAAATAATATTAATGACCGTAAAAGTATTTCCGGATACGTCATTAAAATGAACAATAATGTTATTGATTGGAAAACAAGAAAGCAGTGCACAGTAGCGTTATCAAGCTCTGAAGCCGAATATGTAGCTTTAGCGACATGTGTTAGCAATTGCTTATTTTTCGGTCACATATGTCAAGAAATTTTACATCTTAATATTTTTCCGATTGTCATTAACGAAGATAATCAATCCTGTATTAGAATGGCATCAACATTGGAAACTCGTCGAACCAAACACATCGACATTAAACATCATTATATTAGAGACTGTGTGGAATCTGAAAGAATACATATTCAATATATACCCTCAAACGAACAGCAAGCAGATATTTTAACAAAATCATTGTCATTAAGTAAATTTGAATATTTTAAAAACTTATTAAATGTGGTTAAAGTTCATAATATCTAGGTTAAGAATTTTTATTATATTCTAAATGTTTTTTTGCCCTGTAGGGGAAATAGAAATCTTTATTTTTAAGGAGTGTATAATTGAGGGGGAGTGTTGATAGCAAGCAATTATACATGAGTTCTTTATTTTAACTGTAAGATGTCGCTGTAGTTTCAAAAAGTTGTGTTTAAGTAGCCGACATGTTATGATGACATTAAATTGCATTTTTAGTTTTGCGTACTTAATTATTTATTGTGCTTAATTCCTTAACCATACGCCTGAAGAACTTCATGATGACAAAGGGCAGAGACGTAATCAACGCGAGCTTATTACTCGCGCTTACTGGGATACACAGTAAAAAATCTATTATTTACCGCTCAAAAAACATATCTTCGCACCTATGAATCAAACCAACAAGCGTTCGGACCTTAATAAATTGTGCCATAATCGTAGAATGGAATTACATATCTTTAAACATCATACATTTCAAGGAATAATAGATACCTAAATAAGTGCAAGCAAACACTAAAAATTTGGCAACGCTGGGATTTCTGCAATGATATTTATAAACTTCTAAACAAGTAGTTGCCTTGAAATAGCCCCTTAGGCGTAGCGTACGCCAATAAAATTGAGAAAAAGCACTAAAATTTGTTAGGCAACACACAATACATATGCAACACTATTCTCTATACCGTTGGATCTCTTATTATAGTTACTCTTTGCTACTACACTAGCAATAGCATGTCTTGTTCGTGGATCGCAAAAATGCGATTTTTAGAGGAGCTCGGGTTTTTGGACAAAATGGAAAAACAGGTTTCCAAGCTTTGGCGATTTCTCCGAGTTTGCAGATGACCCAAACAGGGTGGCTGATGTTTTTCATCCATTAAAACACGATATCTGAGTAGCTACAGTGGCTACAAGCTGGAGGATTTAGACTTGTAGGGAAATTTTTGTTTTTGTAGTGGCGCAACGTCTTTTGAACTCTCAAACAGTCATTTATCCTCAAAACAAAAGAGGTGAGTGTAGTATATAGAGGGCAGCTCCAAATATTCACGGCCTGACTATGAAAGGAACGGGTGTAGACTAACAATTAAATTTTATTTTTTCATATATTCAATATTTATACATTGTCCTGCAGCAAACGCACTCTACTAAGTAAATGAGAGCAATGAAGAGTAGTATGTTTTAAATGAAACGATCTCTATGTTAACAATTGCCCTGATATGCTGTAACTTCCTTTTTATTTAGATGTGGCGCGATATAATGAAAACGTGCTACGCCGAGCCGAAAGTAATGGCTGTTGTGCAAGTGGAAAAAATGTTAGAGCGGCTGAAAAAATCAAACATATTACTTGAGCTCATTCAACGTGGACTTAACGAATATTTGGAGAAGAAGAGATTGTATTTTCCCAGATTTTTCTTTTTATCTAATGACGAATTGTTGGAAATACTGTCAGAAACAAAAGATCCCACAAGGTAAATTATTTTCTTGGTTGTATCGTTTAGATAAGGGTACAATTTAGCGTACTTAACTCAAGGTTCCATAATACTCATCTTATGGCACTAGGCAAATCAACTCTGCAGTTTGAAGCAGTGCGCCATGAATTATTAAACTTATTTTAAGACCACGTCCTTTTGGTTTCAAATTCGGGGGAAACTTACAGACATTTCTTTTAGGGTTCAACCTCATCTCAAAAAGTGTTTTGAAGGGATAGCATCATTGGAATTTACCGAAGATTTAGACGTTACTAAGATGAAGTCAAGCGAAGGCGAAGAGGTACCCTTAGTCGACGTCATACAAACGTCACAAGCTCGCGGACAAGTTGAGAAGTGGCTTTTGGAATTGGAAACGGACATGAAAAAATCAGTTCATAAAATGGTAGCGGGCGCGATAAAGGATTACACTGCGCGACCGCGCGACGAATGGGTTTTAATTTGGCCGGGCCAAACTGTAAGGAATCTAATGTAAAGTTACGAGGCATATGAGGTTTGATTTTCAAGGTACAAAGCGTAGCTATGACTTATTGGACTTCGGAGGTTCATGAGGCCATTATTATAAGCCACGATGAGATGAGAAGGTGCCTTGAAAGGTGTAATGTACAAATCTCAAAGGTGGTGAATTTGGTTCGGGGAAAGCTTAGCGCGCAGAATAGGATTACCTTAGGTAATCTGCAATATTTCTCTGACTCAACTGCGAACTTTTTGCTTTTAGGAGCTTTGGTGGTTTTAGATGTACACGCAAGGGATGTGTTATCAGAATTAATAGACTTGAAAGTGAAAGGAATTACAGATTTTCAATGGTTGTCTCAAATTCGCTATTACTGGGAGGTAAAATTTTGTTTACTCTTATTTTTCTCATGTATTATGAGCTCTTATGGGAGATCGATAAGTAAAACTGTCAAAAAGGAAAAGATGAAAATATGTTAATTGCACTTTTGGGTTTTGTTTTGTAAAAACGCCAAAAAATGCAAATATGATCTGCATATTTTCATACGCCAAATTGGAACACATCGTCAATAAAGTTCAGTGCGTTCAGATGTCAGTTAACTGAGATCTAAATATCTGACGCGCTTGAATAGTACCGTTTTCTACCTTTCCGTGCAGCCTCCCCCAGTATGCAAACCGGCAGATTAACATACTTACCTCCAATATCAGAGACACTTGGGGCATATACACTATTATAATCTGATGCGCTCAAGTATTTTGACTATTTTTTTGTACATTATTAAAAAAGTGTAGGGGCCCCTCCCACCGGTGCAGGAATATACATCATAACTTTTTTCCATTCTACAATGTGATCTACGGCGCTCGACTAAATCCCCAACAAGTAAAACAGTCCGTACAGAACACAAATAAAAAAATTACGGTTTACCTTATTCATACGGTGTCTAAACTACCCCCTTGAGTCGTTCAACATTTGAAAACTGGATCGTCGTCTGTTTAGGATTCGAGAAATGGAACAAAAATTTGCTAACGTTAACTCTTGGATCGTTGCGAGGGGTTTTACCATTGCAAAATTCAAAGGAATGTTCGATGTTGCGTGATCCACTTAATTTGAAATGTATTAATTGCGCACAAAGTTACAGCGGATGAGTGACGATATCGTCACTTAATTAAATAAATCCGTTTTTACTGTAGAAATTGGAAAAATTCCCCTTCTCTATCCGTTCGCGATTATGTTTTAGTAACTATCCGCGTAAAAATCTCGCGAGTGCAAAACATAACTTCCCGCTCGATAGCCGAATGCCCGTGAACTAGACCCTCTTTACTTACAAAACCCGCCTACAAAATGGTGCAAATAGGATAATAAATAAATAAATAGATAACCCAGCAGATATATCGCTTAGTTCCCGTTTCTCACGATGTTCCGTGACCTCGTCATGAGTAATTCTGATTCAGCTGTTTTGGTGACGTAAAAGACATTAACATTGTGTTATCGCCCGTCAGACGGTCTCCAGCCACTTTTCCCATACGATTAACCTTTGCCTCCCGTTACATGTTTACCTCATTTTGATTGTATTACTTCCATTTGGATATTTGTAGGACCTAAAAATTCCTTATCCTTGCAAACATGAAAGAACGAGACGGAGAGTGGCGCCGTCGTCACGTATTCAACCAATAATAAAATCCATTTCAGAGTAGACTATTGCAAATACTTTTTTTCTGGAAGTTCCTTTGAATAAAGGCAAAGCGAGTCTGATCAATGAACATGTTGTGTGGGTTATCTCATATTACGTCCCGCATTTTACAAATAAATTTTAACCATCATGTCTTCAGTTTGTAACGGACGCCTCCATCACTGCAAATAGTACCACGCGCAGAGAGTCGACGTGGCTTAGGGAACGATGCGCATTTGTTTAGGGAAACATTTAGAGCTCATAGTGCATTTGAAATGTTAAAAAGCGTTGCTAATCAACCGAACATTATTATCTTTAATGTAGGACAATCAAATGGCAACCCGCATGATAAATTCAACTCTAATGTATGGTTACGAATATTTGGGAAACGTGTCCAGACTTGTTGTTACACCTTTAACAGATCGTTGCTTCAGAACCCTATTTGGTGCATTACATCTTCATTTAGGTAAATCGTCAAAGCACGATGCAAGGCGGCCTTGAGTTTACAGGCTTCGTAAACTAATAACAGCTTGTAAACTGAAGTCTGCCGTGATATACTTTACTCACCATTAACAGCAATCACCCAGGTGGCGCGCCTGAAGGTCCTGCTGGTACCGGAAAGACAGAAACAACAAAAGATCTGGCAAAGTCCGTCGCGAAACAATGCGTTGTATTTAACTGTTCGGATGGGCTCGATTATCTCGCCCTTGGCAAATTCTTTAAGGTCTTTTGAGGAGAGCAATGTTTGCGTGTAGTCATATTAAAGGTCTTAGGGATTGGCGTCGTGCGGCGCTTGGTCCTGTTTTGACGAATTTAATAGAATCGACCTCGAAGTACTTTCAGTGGTCGCCCAGCAGATATTAACCATACAACGAGGAATAAATTCCGGAGCAGAAAAGATGGTATTTGAGGGCACCGAACTGAAACTTGATCCCACTTGTGCCGTCTTTATTACGATGAATCCCGGATATGCGGGGCGATCCGAATTGCCTGACAATTTAAAAGTAGTCTGTCACTATATTCTTTCACTGTACTAATTTTACACTTTCCACAGGCCTTGTTCAGATCAGTCGCTATGATGGTGCCCGATTATGCTTTAATATCAGAAATAGAACTTTACTCGTACGGGTTTCTTAGTGCAAAACCGCTTGCTGTGAAAATTGTGGCCACATATCGTTTGTGTTCCGAGCAGTTGTCATCACAGTGTCATTATGACTATGGTAAGTCTTTTTAAGGCATATGAAATGCTCTAGCATTATATTTTAAATTAAGGTTAATGTTTAGAGTAGATCATAATTGCCTTATTGTTCACTATCCCGATTATGTTTTTTACATAGGTATGAGAGCTGTTAAATCTGTGTTAAGAGCTGCGGGAGCGTTAAAGTTGCGTTACCCCGAGGAGCAAGAAGATATACTAGTTCTACGATCCATTAAAGACGTGAACTTGGCGAAATTTTTAAATCAGGATGTTCCCTTGTTTCAAGTAGGTAGTTTGTATGCAAAGCATTTCCCTTACACTCGGCGACAATTTTAGGGAATCACATCGGATTTATTTCCGGGCATAGAGTTACCCCCTCCTGACTACGTTATATTCAATTTGGCGGTCGAAGACACGTGCGTCAAACATAATTTGCAATGCACTGACTTTTTCTTGGAAAAGGTTCAGCAGCTGTATGAAATGATTGTCGTGCGACATGGACTTATGCTTGTCGGTTTACCATTCGGTGCAAAAACAAGTGCATATCGAGTGTTAGCTGATGCTTTAGGACTTATAGAAGTCAGAGTAAGTAGTTCTTATACATCATTGCCACAGATAGGTGCTTGTAGTTTCTGGGACTTTTACTTTTTTCTTGCAATACAAGTAACAAGCGGTAATTAAAAAGAGTGGCGCATTTATATTCATTTGTTTGAAAAAAGTGACAGTCATAATTATAGTCCAGACCATTGAATTATTCAATGTCCAGACTAAATAGCTCTAAAATAATTTATTTTCAAAAAAAATTAGTTACCGAGCCAAACCAAGTTTTTCAGGTAGGTGAAATGAATAGAAATTGGGAAAAAATAATTAAAACAGCTGAATTTTTCCGCGGGTAAAATCCCGGGGGTTCAAAGGGGTGGAAAGTGGTGTTTTGCAAATTGTGGCAAAACTATTAATTTTAGACGAAAATGTTAAATATAAAAGTTATAGAGATTAAAAAAATGAGCAACTCTTGTATCTGCACTATTTTCATATAACCTCCAATTTTCCTAGAAAAACCGGAAAAAACTGTTTTTTTCGTTTTTTATTCCTATTTTTGCGAAAAAATGTCGTAGGGGTTTGAAATTTGGAGGAAACATAGCTTGTTTTATGATAAAAAAGGAGATAATTTTTTGGGCCTGTAAAGTTGGACCGTTTCCAAGATCTCAAGATTTCTGAAAAAACCACCTCTTTTTCAAGGGGATGAAAAATCTATTTTTTTCATCGTACAGCGTTGCGCGATGTAGCAAAATTCTCGTAACGACTTAAATTTTAATAATCAAAAATAAAAAATATTCGAATAGAAAAATTTTTTTTTAAAAAAGTGCAAAAACGGGGGAACAGTATTAAAAGATATACCGTTTTTGACAGTAGGTAATAGCTTTTTTTGCAAATAAATTAACGTATTGGATCCGCGCTAATAAAAAGTTTTGGAAATCTGTCTTTAATGTTGCTATAGTTATTTACATTGTTAGTGCGGGAACAGCTTAGCGGCGCGAGTGCGCGACGCGCACGAGCGACGCATCTCGGGCGAATCAAGCAAATACTGTTCACGCACGTAACATGTATTCTATTTTTTGCAGGGATTAGTTAAATCGAATTTATATAAATTCAAATCCTTTTCGCGAGATTTTTGCGACATTATAATTCTTTTGAAAAAATCAAGTCCTCTATGCCGATAAAGTAGAAATCTCGAAATTTAAAATGTCAATTTATTGTTCAAAACTTCTGGTTTAAGCTTATTTTTGCCCCTGTACTACAGGGAATGATGTAAAGTGTATTTATATTTTCTTTTTTACTCTTCCATCATACTACTTATTAGTTTATGATTCGAACTAAATAGATAATTTCGTTGAATTTTTAGGCACTAGTGCGCGAAAGTAGATTGTCAATTGTAAAATTGACGTTCCCGACTTTCGTGTTTTATTAGGAAAACGCGATTTAGAACGAAGGAGTGCAAAAAATATTTTCTTTTGTTTCCTAGTGCCCAACTGCCTTAATTAAACAACTTTATTATTTCTTTTTTCTGCATTTTTACCGCAATAAAACCATTTTGAAGTAAAATCGAATTCTTTTACTTCCTGAACAATTTGTTTTTGTTCACTAACTGTTCTTCCTGCCTGTTTTACAGCTGATGGGATTAAGCTGGGCCTGTTGATCGTAAATTTACAGGAATTATGAATAAAATCCTCATAAAGTTTATTCCAGATTTTACATCTCAAATCATTAGCTTTAGCCGGTAAAACTAACCTTATTGCAGATTTTGCAAGTTTATCAACAGGCCCAACGCAATTGCATCAGCATAAAACAGGCAGGAAGAAGAGTCAGTGAACAAAAAGAAATTGTTCAGGAAGCATGAAGCAAGATAATCCGATTTTATTTTGAATTGCTTTTATTGCGGTAAAAATGCAGAAAAAAGAAATAACAAAGATGTTTTAACTAAAACAGTTGAACATAAGATAACAAAAGAGAATATTTAAGCAAACATGAAAGAGAAGCAAGAAGACAGATTTCGAAAAAATCTTTATTAACATCCAACATGTTGATTTATCATGTCAAAAACGGTGTATATCTTAAAACTGTTTTTCCAGTTTTTGGCGATTTTCTCGAATTTTTGCTATAAGAATAATATTTTTTTATTTTTGTTTATTAAAATATAAGCCTTCCCAAAATTTTGCTACCCCGCGCACCTCTGTACGATGAAAAAAAATAGATTTTTCATCCCCTTGAAAAAGAGGCGGTTTTTTCAGATATCGTGAGACCTTGGAAACGGTTCAACTTTACAGGCTCAAAAAAAATCTTTTTTATCATAAAACAAGCTATGTTTCCTCCAAATTTCAAACCCCTACGACATTTTTTCGCAAAAAAGGGAATAAAAAACGAAAAAAAATACTTTTTCCGGTTTTTCTAGGAAAATTGGAGGTTATGTGAAAATAGTGCAGATGCAAAAGTTGCTCATTTTTTTAATCTCTATAACTATTACATTTAACATTTTAGTCTAAAAATAAAAGTTTTGCCACAATTTGCAAAACACCACTTTCCACCCCTTCCAAATCCCGGGATTTCACCCGCGGAAAAATTCAGCTGTTTTAATTATTTTTAATAATAATAATAATGACATTTATTGAGCACACATTATACAAAGAACAGATATTATACATTACATTACATAATGGGTGACTAAATAGGGCGAAGTTCAGACTGGAATAAACCGTGTTATTCCGTCTGCTCTACCACTCAACCCCCTACATATGAAATTAACAAGAGACCAAGACATAAAAAAACCTAGCACTTTTAGCAAGTAAAGAAAAAACTATATGATAATAAAAACCATTCAGTATGAAGGCACAAATGAAAACCTAAAAAAAAATGTAAAAAAAAAAAATTATAGCAATATGATGTTAACGATGGAACTTAATGCTGTCTTGCAAGGAGTATGAGGTGCAAGCGTTTTTTAAAAAGACTTTCGGATAAATGTTTTAAATGAGATGGTAATTCATTATACGTCTTTGCAATATTGTAACTGAAGGAGCGTTTAAATAGTGACGTTTTGTGAGTAGGTATAGTTATAAAAAACCGATCTCTAACATTGACATTATGTACGTCAGCTCTGTATGTTACCTTTTCAAATAAATATGACGGAGTTTTGGTTTGAAGTATGCCATGGAACAAACAGGCAGAATGTAATATTCTTCTGTTGTTCATGTCAAGCCACTGGAGGGATTTTAATTTATAGTATATTAGTCTAAGGCAAGAATTCTGCATTCTCTGAATTCGATTGTAGTCTCTTGTCGATACATGGGCCATACACACTATCACAATAGTTAAATTGGGAAAGCACTAAGGATTCACAAAGCATAACCTTAATACTACGATTAATAAGAAATCGGCTATTAAATATTAGTTTAATATTTGTAAACGCTTTATTAATTATTTGAGATATATGCTTTTTGAAACGTAATTGGGAGTCAAAAATCAATCCAAGATTTTTGTATTCATTAACTACTGGTAATATTGCCCCTTTGGACTCAACAATTATTGCATGCTTGAGCGTGTTAATAATCGACGTTCGGCCAAATAGCATAACAGCTGACTTATTGCAGTTAATCTGGAGTCCATGTTCTTCAGAAATCTTAGCTATATTATACAGGTCAGAATTGAGTTGATTGTTGATTGTGTTAATGTTAAGGTTTTCAGTCGGAGCTTGATATAATAATTGTGTGTCATCCGCGTACATGTGATAAGTGCAGTATTCTAAGCAAGTGTGAAAATTGGAGGTGTATATAATATACAGTAAAGGTCCAAGCACTGACCCCTGCGGAACACCTGCTGTAACAGCAATGGGGTTTGACATGTGGTCATTTAAAGACACGCGTTGTGTTCTATTGCTAAGGAAGCTTGAAATAAATTTTATAGAATAGTCGTTAAATCCGATAAATTTTAGTATTGCAAGGAGAACAGAATGGTTAATTCTATCAAAAGCTCTAGAGTAATCGAGCAAAATAAGAACTAGCAGATTTTTACGATCAATTGCAGAAATAATTGTGTCTGTAACGTACAAAAGGGCAGTAGTGCAACTGTGCCGCGACCTGAAACCGGACTGTAAAGGGGGAAGAATGTTTTCAGAGGTTAAATATGCCCTGATCTGCCTATCCATGATCCTTTCCAAAATCTTAGACATACAAGGCAAAATTCTTATTGGACGTAGATCAGTAAACTCCTTTGGATGTTTAATTTTAGAGAGAGGTATTATCTTGGCATTTTTCCATGAATTTGGGAATACACCAGCGATAAGACAAGAGTTGATTATGTGGGTGATCAAGTCGGTTAAATATGGAAGGCATAACTGCAGCATGTACACACTAATCTGATCCAGACCTATCGATTTAGACTTTATCAAATATATGCAGTTAAGTACTTCTACTTCAGTAGTGGCGGTAAAACTAAATTTATGTTTAGAATGTCTACTATTGCTATTATAATAAACCGATACCACGAAATATCGAAGGATCCTCAGTATTACAATCACTTTTAACGACAATTTATTTTAATCTTACAAAATACATTTTATAGTTAACAAAAATGCATCAAATTCATGTCTTGGGCTTTGAGATAATGCTCTTGGTTTTTTTCCCAACGATCTTGGTGCATAAATAACGATTTTGACATGTTTTGATCAAAATCCATGTGGTCCATAAAAATAGATCAAATTCATGTTTAGATCATTGAGATAATGCTCTTGATCTTTTTCCCAACGATTTTGGTGCATAAATAACGATTTTGACATGTTTTGATCAAAATCCACGTTTTCGCCAAAAATTCATCAAATTCATGTCTTTGGCATTGAGATAATGCGCCTAGTCTTTTTCCCAATGATCTTGGTGCATAAATAACGATTTTGACATGTTTTGATCAAAATCCACGTGGTCGCCAAAAATGCATCAAATTCATGTCTTGGGTATTGAGATAATGCGCTTAGTCTTTTTCCCAACGCTCTTGGTGCATAAATAACGATTTTGACATGTTTTGATCAAAATCCACGTGGTCGCCAAAAATGCATCAAATGCATGTCTTGGGCATTGAGATAATGCGCCTAGTCTTTTCCCAACGATCTTGGTGCATAAATAACGATTTTGACATGTTTTGATCAAAATCCATGTGGTCCATCAAAATAGATCAAATTCATGTTTAGATCATTGAGATAATGCTCTTGATCTTTTTCCCAACGATCTTGGTGCATAAATAACGATTTTGACATGTTTTGATCAAAATCCACGTTTTCGCCAAAAAATCATCAAATTCATGTCTTGGGCATTGAGATAATGCGCCTAGTCTTTTTCCCAATGATCTTGGTGCATAAATAACGATTTTGACATGTGTTGATCAAAATCCACGTGGTCGCCAAAAATGCATCAAATTCATGTCTTGGGCATTGAGATAATGCGCCTAGTCTTTTCCCAACGATCTTGGTGCATAAATAACGATTTTGACATGTTTTGATCAAAATCCACGTGGTCGCCAAAAAAGCATCAAATTCATGTCTTGGGCATTGAGATAATGCGCGTAGTCTTTTTCCCAACGATCTTGGTGCATAATTAACGATTTTGACATATTTTGATCAAAATCCATGTGGCCTCAGAAAAATAATTTAACATTTTTGAATCACACACATGCGGTTATCAAACGTGCACGTTATCAACTCCTTCAGCATCAAGATAATGCGTTTGAAAGCTTTTACAACTCTAAATTCATGTGTAAAGAATAATTTTGGGTACATTTTGCTCTAAAACTTTTGACCGAGACCACAGAGAAGAGTTATATTGAATTGTTACACATCTAAGAGTCATAGGGAATAAATCTAGCGAAAGTCCGAACTCGATACATGACCTAGGGAATGAAATATGTTAATTTTTATTATATTGAGTTCGCAGTTTTTCCTGTTCCCGATTCACTCGAAGTCGTATAACTTTTTGTTCCTGTTGAACCAGCTTCCTGAAAATCAATAGCGTCCGTTCTTAATGTCCAACGTACCCGTATACCAAATTTCAACACAATCGGCCACTTTTAAAAAGAGTTAGGGCGCACACGGACGGACGGACGGACGGACGGACGGACGGACGACAATACAAAACTATAAAGGATCTGAGGATCCTTAATAATGAAGTAAAGTATCATTGATAGGTGTACTTGTGTAGGTACAAAAAGAACTATTAATTTTGTCAACATCACATAACTGGGAGGAATTTCATTATGGCATTTGGTTCTATATACATCAGCTTTGCGTAGCTCTGCCCAGACTACCTTAGGGTTATTATTAGACGATTTTAATTTTGCTTCTAAAAATGCTCTTTTTTCTGATTTAATAGCAAAGGTGGTATAATTTCTTAAAGTTTTATAGTACTCCCAATGGCTAGCTTTTTTCGTCCTTTTATATCTAGTTAAAGCTTTGTTTCGAAGCGACATCATCAGCTGTATATTCTGAGTTAGCCATGGTGCATATGGTTTCGACACTTTACATTCTTTAATGGGGGCATGCTTATTAAATAAACTGATGATGCAATGTTCAAAGAACGCCACTTTGTCATTAACATTGGACATTATATACACAGTGCCCCAAGGAATCAATTTTAGGTCGTTATCGAAGTTGGACAAATTGATGTTTAGGTAATCATGATAACGACGCAAAACTTCAGTTTTCGCTTTCATTTGTTTAACAGGATATTTACATTGTACTATATATGATGGTCGGACAAGCCGTGCACACTATTTACAGCCACATCTATAACCTCTATATCATTCGGCACTACTATAAAGTCAATAAGGGAGGCACTGTTACTTGATACTTGATTTTCCCAATTTCTATTCATTTCACCTGCCTCAAAAACCCGGTTTCGCCCGGTAACTAACTTTTTTTGTAAAAAAATATATAGCCTCGACTATTAGGTTTGTTTGGTATTCGCAGAAATATACATCAGTTTTTAGTTTTATTCAATTATAGGGTGGCATGGACGAACACCGCGCCATATATACGATAATGAATCCAAAGTCGATTACAATGGGACAATTATATGGCCAATTTGACCCCGTATCCCATGAATGGTCAGATGGAGTTTTAGCAGTAAGCTACCGCGCATTCGCAATGTCTACAACGTTAGACAGGTGAGTCTAAACTTTGGTAGGTATTACTTCATGACTTACACTCCAGAAAATGGTTAATATTTGACGGACCTGTAGATGCAATTTGGATTGAGAACATGAACACTGTATTAGACGATAATAAAAAGTTATGTTTGATGTCGGGCGAAATCATACAATTAGCAAATACTACAAATTTAATATTTGAGCCTATGGATTTGGAGGTAGCTTCTCCTGCTACGGTACGTCATGGATTCCGCATACTTAAGAACTCAAGTAGTATTTGTAGGTTTCGAGATGTGGCATGATTTATTTGGAACCATCTACATTGGGATGGGAACCAATTTTATGTTCCTGGATAAATAAATTTCCTCCTCTGCTAAATGATTTTGATAAAGCTACAGTAAAGGCGATGTTTCTACGGTTTGGTAAGCCACTCCTGTGGTTTATTCGAAAAGGAGGCGTAAAAGTACTAGCGTAAACATTGAGTATTCGTTTGAAATTCTCTCAATTTTAAGGAAATAGCGTCAACTTTAGACTCGAACTTAATGGTTTCTGCCATGAATATGTTCGATTGTTTTATGGACGATTTTTACGATCCGGAGGCTGTGAAACAATTGTCCGACTTAGACGTGCGTGCCCAATTGGAGGGTGTCGTCTTCTTTTCTTGCATATGGTCGCTCGGAGCGACACTGGACTTTAACAGTCGACCCAAATTTAGTATTTTATTCAGGGCTCTTCAAGAGAGAATTTTTCCGCAACATCTCATTAACGATTGGGAAATACCGTTTGAAATACCTCCAGTTGACAAACCTTACGTCTTAACCATTCCTCCAGCAGAGACTGTGTTTGATTACAGATTCATTAAAGAGGTGAGAACTGTTATAGCTTTTCCAAATTAAAATGTTATGGCTCTACTTTCATTACACGCCCTTGCTTTGTCGAAGAAAAACCTTTATCCCCATCTTTGAGAGTGGGATAGAATTTTTGCTACAAAGAATTCACTAAGTATATGTGTAAAAGTGCACATCTGTTCAGTTACTGGCAAGTACGTCAATGTACCCTGGTCACAGCGCTACAATCTGTAGTCTAGTGATATTTTCAGACCGACTCAAAGACAACAGAAGTTGCATTAAACTTTTCGCATTTTGATTTTTCAGGCGAAAGGAAAGTGGATATTATGGAACAACGACTTGAGCACGGCTCCTGCCATACCTCGCGACATCCCTGTAAACCAAATCATAGTAACGACGACTGAAACGATAAGGAGTATCGCTTTAATGACCCTTCTAGTTGAACACAATAAAGCGATGATGATAGTGGGCCCAACAGGCACTGGCAAATCAGTTTATATAATCGTAAACAGAGCACACTATTGGGCAATTAACGCAGTTTGTTATTTGTAGGAATTCCTGCTTAAGAAAATATCAAAAAATTACACACCAATGTTTATAAATTTTTCTGCGCAAACTTCCGCAAATATGACTCAAAACATTATTATGAGTAAACTGGATAAGCGACGAAAAGGTAACATCATATTGTAAATTTGCATTTCTACATCTACGCATGTAGGCGTATTTGGCCCGCCCGTTGGTAAAAGGTGTGTGATATTCGTCGATGACGTTAGCATGCCTTTAAAAGAGACGTATGGAGCGCAGCCTCCAATTGAATTGTTACGGCAATGGTTTGATCATCATATGTGGTATGACTTGAAAGAAATTATACCTATGAAATTAATTGATATACAGGTATAAATACTTTCCACATTTGGAGTGCGACTAAATTGTTTTTCAGTTTATGTGCGCTATGGGGCCACCAAGCGGTGGGAATACAGTAACTCCAAGATTTGCGAGACATTTTAATCATGTTTGCATTGATGAATTTAATGACAGCATTATGGTTACCATTTTTACCAAGATTATGAGCTGGCATTTGGAAACAAAGTATGTACCATTGATTTAAATAGGAACTGATGTTCTCGAAAGCTGATTTTCTTATGTCGAGAAACTTTACTCCAAAGACCTTTTACCTTAGAATACGTAACTAACTAACAAAGCGCACAAAGAAACACTTCATTGATTATTATTAAGCCTGTCGAACGCTATTGAACTAGCTGAAAGCAGTTGTCATAATTTAAGAATCTCTAATCTGTGCCAACTACCATTATGACAGCGCAAATAACCATTTCGTTAATATACAGGCACCCGATTCTAATTTATATTTGTAAAAGTAATAATGAAGCTTTTTCAGCGAAAATAACGGTCTAATGCAGACAAAATTTGGGAGTTTTATTATCTTCTGACCTTGAAGTTGTATCTTGACGCGCACAATCTTAACCGATTGTAGACCAGAGCAAACTTTGGACTTTGAACCGTGACCAACCTTTGGACTTTGAAAAGCGATCAACTTTGAACTTTACAGTAATTTAATTCCGAAGATCACAACCTTTGAGATTTCTAGTTTTGAAAGCCATTGTTAGGAGGAGAGGTAGATAACTTTGATGACACCTAAATTTCACCTCAAGGAATTTTACATGGAGTTAGAATATCCCCTCTATATGACTATTGCTTGCTTTGGGTCCACGACTGCTCAGCATACGCTATCCATGACATGATTAACATTATTCGATATGAATGGCTGCTGAGAGCTTTATAGTCTCTACTCCCCTCAAAGTTTAAATTTAGGTCACTGACGTCACACACTCACTCTCTCTCCCGTCCCTCCGGAAAATCGATATGACCGTTATTTGGTCAAGTCGCTAACCTACGTCTATTTAGTTTTTAAAGTCACCTTCAAATGACATTTCCACTAGAAAATCTCCTTTATTTGGTTTTCAATGTCGTACGATCGTTAACCTTGAGACCTCTATTTTGTTTTTTAGTCACATTCAAATAGCAGTGACACTAGAAAATTGCCTTTTAGGATTTTACATGTAGTTGAGGTAGGATCGGCCCTATATGGCTCGCACAAATTGAGTATTGCATTTGAAAATAAAATATAACCACAAAAAATTGAGGGAAATTGACCTTTGATGATCTTAAAAATGGAATATGGCACCGCCAGAAATGAGGTCATTGAACTTGTGATAATCTTGAAAGTGAAATATGATATCACAAAACTGGAACCATTGACCTCTGGTTACCGACACCGCAAAATGAAATCTTGAACGGCGACCAACCTTTAGAATTTGAGCGGGTGGCAAACTTTGGTCTTTGAATGTCGGCCAAACTTTGGACTTTGAACGACTAGCAAGTTTGGACTTTAAACGGCGAGCAACCTTTGAACTTTCTCGTCAGGAGGATACGACAACACCCAAATTTAGCCATATGGAATTATACACGGAGTTGATTTAAAATATCCCAATATAACTATCGCTTGGTTTGGTCATGATTGCTCAGCGTACCTATGCTCTCTATGACGTAATATTATTTGATACGCATGAATGCGGGGACTTGACAATCACTGAGTAAAGTGCAAAGTAGGTAACTTTACAAGGTCAGCATTCTTAGGGCAAAAGTTTCAAACGTTAGCGATCTTTCGCGTAGATAAATAAATAAATCAAGGTTATACAAAGGGTCAAGTACAAAACGTATACAATTATTAATAAAAGTAGATCAAGGTTACAAAAGAGTAAGGGGTCAACTTATTTTCCGAAATTACCATGTGGCACCTCCGGGGGTGAATGGTCGAACAGACGTCTGTGTTTTACCTTGACCTGCTTTCCAAACTCACTGCCCATTACCGAACCACCTTTGAACTTGACCCATGTGGCATTTGACCTTTTGTAACCTTGACAACACAAAAAATGATGTCATTGACTTCTGATAACGTTGAAACCGAATGCACTTGGGCATCACCTTGACCTACTTTCCAAGGTCACCTATACGTGGCACGTAACCTTTAAACTTCACCTTGACCTACTTTGCAAAATCACCACCAGGTAGCGAGCGACCTTGAATTGAGCAAGGGTCGGCTTTATATGACTACTAAGTTACTCATTATGGTTTCAGTAGAAACTTTAAAGCTATTTTTAAACATCAAATAGGCCAGCATGTCATCTCAAATCCCTTATTTTCAGCCCTTTTCGGATTTTATTATCACCTAAAAAGTGGAACTAATATCTAATACCTACTGCTGTGATATCACGCATAATTTACAACAGGCGACTCATCTTTGGTGCAATAAAACCCCTTTCTTAAAAGTAACATGACTTCGGACAGCAAATTCAATGTTACAACAAAATATGTGGAAATCAGTGAAGCGCAACCCAATATCACACATAGATTCTAAAGCAAAGAGTTTTTATTAGCAGAATCTCGCCCCAAGATAGGTAACTCGCCCCTCGTTAGCGGTATCCGAGCCAATCAGTTGAGGGTCGAAATGTGAACAGTTAAATTACAAACAACAATTCGGTACACACGTCAAACAATTCGATAACTTCCACATAGAATATAATGATCAAAACTTATGTGAATAATCTGCTTGTCAAAACCATGATAACAAACATAAATTAAGCAAACATTACACCAAAAACTTAAATGATTTCAAACTAAAGGTTAACGGTATTAAATACGTGATTCTGAAATGATGTTAAATCAAGTCAATATCATAAACAAAGATGGAATAAAAAAATATAAAATGTCGCATACAAAACACAAATAAATTATAAACGAACGCAATTCCCACGCAAGCTTGATAACGACGGAGGTAACCTTTGCAAAATTGTCCCGTAATTCTAGCCAATTTCGTCTTGTTCTACGGTTTCCTGGCGCCTCAAACTTTCACACGGATTTGAAAAATCGGGACCATATTCAGTGACCACTCACCCGCATACAAAACAGGAAAATTTTAAGTAAACTTTGAATCAAATCAAATCCGTTACCGGGCTCCCGTTACAAAATATAAATTGTCTACATAATTTAAATAATTTGAATAAAAATCAAAGTGTCCATGAATTAGAACTATTGTGTGCAATTTTTAGGGGATTTCCTAAGGACTTCGATCCATGTGTGGAAGAAATTGTATCTGCAACTTTAGATGTTTACAAATTGAGCAGGAAAAACTTATTACCAACTCCCGCAAAGTCCCACTACCTGTTCAATTTGCGAGATTTTTCCCGCGTCATTCAGGTATAAATTGATTCACCAAGTTCGTTTAATAATAACTCTATATTTAGGGCGTCCTGCTGTCTTCTCCTTCAATTACCGAAGATTTACTGGCTATGAAACGTCTGTGGGTTCACGAAGTTTTAAGAGTCTACTACGACAGATTGGTGGATGATTCGGATAGGGTTTGGATATTTAAAATGTTGCACGACGTTTGCAAATCGCGGTTAAAGGAGAATTTGGATTTGATGTTTGAACGGCTCGCCTCTCCTGGAAATCCATATGTCAGTTTTTTAGCTAAATATATCCAAGTCTCTGTAGTCTTGCGTAGATTGGCGAAAACGAGTTGAGACAGTTGCTCTATTGCGATTTCAGTAATCCAAAATCGGATGCTCGAAACTACGTGGAGGTGTACGACTTGAATCAATTGAGAGAAGTGGTTGAGGGCTATTTAGCCGAGTTTAATAATATGACGAAGAAACCCATGAATCTTGTGCTGTTCAGGTCTGCACAGTTAATTGTATTATTAAGCTTTTATCAACAGCTCGATTTTTAGATTTGCGATTGAGCATTTGTCGAAAATTTGCAGAGTGGTCAAGCAGCCGAGAAGTCACTGTTTGCTTGTCGGGGTCGGTGGTTCCGGTAGGCAATCGTTAACGCGGTTGGCTACCCACATATCAGAATATGAGATGTTTCAAGTTGAAATCACAAAAACCTATGGGTCTTATGAATGGCGCGAGGATGTTAAGGTTATTCTTAAGAAAGCTAGCGCGAGTGACTTACATGGCGTTTTTATGTTTTCTGATGCGCAGGTAATTGCAACCAATTATTGCATGGTACATTGTAATCTTCAATTTCTTCAGATTAAAGAAGAATCTTTCTTAGAAGATGTGAGCAACTTACTAAATTCAGGCGAGGTTCCCAACTTATTTACAACAGAAGAAAAGCTGGAGTTGACTGAAAAAATGCGCCAAATTGATAGGCAAAGAGATAAATCTATGCAAACGGACGGCAGTTTAGTGGCGCTATTCAATTTATTCGTGCAGATTGTGAGAGAGCAATTACACATTGTTCTAGTGATGAGCCCTATCGGTGACGGTTTCAGGAATCGAATTAGAAAATTTCCAGCCATCGTAAATTGCTGTACTATCGACTGGTTTCAGGTAACGATAATAATAATTGCGTTTTATAAACGGAATTCGTGCAGCCTTGGCCCGAGGATGCACTGCTCGCTGTGGCAACGCGGTTTTTGGGCGAAGTTGAGCTAACTGATAAAGAAAGATCAGCTTGTATAGAAATGTGCCAGGAGTTTCACACAAGTACCCAACAATTGTCAGCAGAGTTTTATGTAAGACTGAAGCGCCACAATTACGTTACACCCACGTCATATTTAGAACTAATTAATACATTTAAAGCCTTTTTGGCGAAAAAACGAGAGTAAATATTGTTTCATTGTCTGCAGTGGGTAACGTTTTCTTCTCGTAGCGAAATTATGAGAATGAAAAGGAGATACGAAGTAGGTTTGGAAAAACTCGATTATGCGGGTGAACAGGTGGCGATTATGCAGGAGAGTTTGGAAGCGTTGCAACCGCAGCTTGTCGTAGCGGCGGCGAAGGTGGGTGAAACCATGAAGAAGGTAGAAGCGGAGTCGGCAGAAGCAAGTGTGGTAGCAAAAGTGGTTATGGACGATGAAGTAGTGGCAAATGAACAGGTCAGTAGAATGCATTTTTTTTAGCAGCTCGTGGCTGCAAAACTAATAAACTGGAAATCAATACTAAACACGTTTAAAATGGACGGACGGTGGGATACGAACCAACAAATCTAAAACCATAGAATATTCTCAGATCGAAAAATGTAATAATGAAGCGCAATCGGTCGCTCTGTGCAAAAAAATTATTTGTAAAATAGGGGGGCAGTTATGAATTTGCCCCCCCCCCAAGTTTGTTTTTGTCGTAATTTTGAAACCGGCCGTGCGCAAACAAAATGCAATCGTATGCAAACGGGCTTATACAATGCGCAATTCATTTCAAAAACGAATTTTTTAGCTTCCTAAAGTTGGGGGGGCCAAATTCACACAGGTGATATTATCATGCTTTAAATGAAACCGGAAAATTCCGATTACTTCCGAAGGTAGGTATGTCAGAAAAACCAAAATTTTCCGATTTCGTTTTTATTTTTTTAAATGTTATTTGAACAGATACAAAAAAAAATAAAAAAACACATTGCCACTTTTTGAGCTCTACAAGGAAAAATTATTATCACTTATAATTGCACAAGAGGTTTGTATTTTACCGAGTAAATTTGGGTTGTTTAGGTAATGAAAATCTGTTGCCTAACAATTAGACGAGAAAAACTGTCAATTAATAAAAATGCGACACCGGAGGTGGAGCATTTTTAGGTTGACAGTTTTTCGAGTCCAATTGCTAAAAGGAAACAGATTTGAATTGCCACAACCCAAATTTACTCGGTTGAAATACAAACCTCGAGTGTAATTCGGCAGGACAATTTAACGAACAAGAAATTCACCAACTAATCAATTATTGACAGACGTCAAACTAGTCATATGGGAAAGGATAATGCGATAATTGGTTCGAAAATGAATAATTCTTGAAAAAACCACTAGTGCATTTGTCGCTGGAAAAGTTGATCAGTGAGCGACGGGGCCTGAGGGGGGGGGGGGTTAAAATTAATTTTATCTCTCATCGTATTCTAATTAAAGGTCTCAACGAAAGGAACCGTTTTCTACCAACTACTGCCCTTCTTTCTGTCCTCTTATCAAAGTACTGTGCGGCGGGGGAGGGGGGAGTGGAACTAGATCCTTCATGGTACTCTAATGAAAGGTCTCAACGAAAGGAATTAATTTCTACCAACCATAGCCCTCCTCCTTGACCTCTTATCGTGATCGGGTATATTCCCTTAGTGTTTGTTTACAATGAACGTATACGTAGATCATACTTAGTATGATCTTTGACCATACGTAACTTTGAAACATTTTCAACAAGACTTGCATATCGCTTATATACAGTTCAACTTTGCGAAATTGTTAAGTTTTATGTATTTCTTACGTATACGTTCATTGTAAACAAGCACTTATACCTCAAGAACGGATTGTCAGCAGAGGGTACTCACAAAGGGCTATTGAGACGTCTGCAAGAAATATATCCATTGGTGATGTCAAAACAAAAGCTATTTCGGTTAAAAAAATGCGCTTTATCTGCACCAGAGTTGTGCACAATTTATACTTGCTTTATATGGCCTGTAAAAAAGTACATGCTGAATTAAGTAGCATTTGTATTACGAATATAACGATATACAGTACACAAAAAAAGTTGGAAACTGTTGGTTTCAACACTCTCGCGCACAACGGCATAATCGTGCGAGAATACCTACATCGGGCTATTTACGGGAAAATGGAAAATATGTCCGATAGGTGTTCTCGCACAATTAGGGCGATGTGCGCCCTGTAGAACAAAAACTAAGATAGCCATGGCAAATTTGGGATTAGGGTTTTTTGTTTCGCCAAAAAGAAGTGTGAAAACCGTTTATATCTAGTCTAGTAACGGTAACGGCGCTACCCTGCAAAATCCGGAGACCCTATGTAGTGTTACAGGATTGTAGTACGAAAATAAAATTGAAGCGGTAACGTTTACAAAAAAAGGCCCTACGGAGTTGTAGCTAGTTTGTTCCAAAATATCCGAATCCCGCGTACATTTGAAATCAGAGTGACACGTGATCGAAATTTTTGAGGTAGGGCCGCCTTGTGGGAAATGCTGTGAAGTCTGGTCCTCGGTCTGGTCTTACAGTTGGCAACCCTGGGGAAAAACTACAAGCAGAACCATCTTTTCATGGCGAAATGTTGGACGTTTCGCACCAATTTCAAATCTCTCGTTGTGTGGAACTTACCTTTTTTTTGCATGCCTATAATAATAAATAATGTGGTATGGGTATATCCAAAGCTTAATTTTGGGTAAATGCATGACAATAAAATTTGAGAACGTTGTGCTCAGACAAAGCGGCAGTTTGAATATCCCAGCAAGAGCAAAATCGATATGTTACTTGAGTTATATTTTTAAATCAGTAAATACTCTCAAATGCAGGTCATGATCTGCTTTATTTATGATGCAAACGTTATGGTGGCGTTTAAAAAAAATGCAAAAGTTTGCCTTGCGATTTCCTCAGTAGCTTTGTTTCGAGGTAAAAAATGAACTTCTGTTAACGACCAATGGTTGCTAAAGGTTTAAGCTTGTGAATGAAGTTAAATTTGATAACAAATTATTATCAGTGTGTGATAAAAATGAAAGATATATATTTTGTATGGGAGTTTTTCAAGAACTTCTTTCCTAAATAACGGCGAAAGTACAGGAATTAGCTAAATAATTTTTGTTTCATGCAAATGTCGGAACATTATATATTTTAATGAATGTCATTTCAACCAAAAATTCGTACCCAGAAGGAAGTTATTGTGGAAACAAATTTCCAAGTTTTCAATGTAAACGCCACCTTATAGGTTACAACATAAACAGTATAAACTTGTTTATGTCTTATGAATTGTTTTCTTCGTCAAAGTAAATATCCGTTTACAAAATAATTCATTATGTTTGATCAAGTATGCGTGGTTCGAATTTGTTAATGTGATTGAAACCATCCAAACGTCAAACGTAATTTTAAATAATTCAATTCATCGTAAATGAGGAAGAAGTTCCAGAAACTATTCGAAATAAGGCCAATCTTGTGATTTAGTAGGTATTGACAATTAATAATTGACGTTTCTAATTTTCAATGACCTGCAAATATTTGTTTGTTTTGTCATTAAGTATAAATGGGTTACTATGGTGATACTTAATGCCCTAGGGCATAAAGTAGTAGGTTATGCCCGCGTATCACAGATATAAAATGTGCTATGATATGTTAGTAAGACATAAATAACTATAATGTATGTTTCGAAACATAAATGAAAAATCTGGGATCTTACGCGCAAACAATACTATAACGAATTGTTCAGAGAAACGCAAACGCAGTTGAGTTTAACTACGTATGAAATGTAAACAGACTAACCATGAGATGATTTGGCCAGCTGGTGTGTTTGTGACGTCACAATGACCATGCAGATAAAGGACTTCGTTTTCTACTACTAGGCGAGTCCCGCCAGCCAGCTCGCTATCGTGGCGCGACAGGGCCGTCAAAGAGGGTCGCGACTGCCAAGATCTGAATGGTATCAATGTAACAGTGAAAAAAATTTACTTATCCGTCACAGACACGTAAGAAGGGTACAGCGGGATACGTACAGATGACTAATTCAGAGTCTGCAGAAGGAGCCAAGTGGCTCCGTGGTACACTAATGGGTGCAATTAGTCGAATAGGAATAGTGGGAATGCGTGATCTTTGGCTTTCTTACGTGCTGTGTACAGTACCTACTCTAAATTCTGCTCATCAGGAGCACAGTAGCAGTGATTGAAGAATGTAGACGACCTAAACAATACAACACATCTTTGGAAATTATGTTATCCTGCAAAAGCACATTTTTTTATGTCACCTCAATGTCTATTGGAATTCCTAGACTATTATGCGGGTCACTCTGTAATTGGGCGCATGCCTGTTGAGGGCCCACAACAAGAGAGGGATAATAAGTTCGTTACATTATAAATACTGGGAATATTAGGTAAACCACTTCTGACGTGGGATGTGAAAAAAACTACCTAACCCGATATTGTTACAGTAAAAGTGCAAGGTACATATATCACATATAGTGATTTCTGATGTTACAGGCTCAAGCCGCTCAAGCCATAAAAGATGATTGTGATGCAGACTTGGCCGTTGCAATGCCTATATTGGAGGTTGCTCTAGCTGCATTAAATACCTTAACTCCTGCCGATATTACAATTGTTAAAACAATGAAGAATCCCCCACAAGGTGTAAAACTGGTTATGGAAGCTGTGTGTATTATAAAGGTAAGGTTTTTGAAGGTTTGGGTATAGAGTAAACCTTTTGCTAGAATTTTTTTATTATCGTTGAGACATGGCTGTGGCACAGTACAAAAAAATAGCGTAAGGGCTGAAGTATGCCTTAATTTCTTGGCTATTTCGCTCTTGAGACGAAAAGTTATACATCTTATTTGTTCTATGCCATTAAAAATGAGTTGCTGTCAAGTCACCTTTGGAATTTTTGTTTACATGGGAAATCATCTTAGACCATATAGTACATGGACTGCTAATTGTAACTAAAATATGGTCAAGGACATCGCCTAGGTATGTGCGTTTTAGGGTAAACGAGTCTGTCCGAAATTGTCCGATGAGACACGATTTGACGCTGTCAACCTATAAATTAACAAACGTCAAGTAATTAAATGCCTAGATATGGCAAAAAAAGCAAACCTATTGTTATTTGTGGACGTATAGAAGATAATCAAGAGTATTTAAAGCTTCCTGTACTACGCGGTTACCATAAAAGCTACTCTTTACGCGATCCGAGTGGTGTTCATACGACTTTAGTTTACCCTGAGATTCACATACCCACGACTACAGTGCCCTCTATCCGTGACCACCCATTTTGTATTGAAAGCATAGGGCTAATAGCAGTCCATGTACTATATGGTCTAAGGAAATCATATCTAACTTCCAAAGCCGATTCGACGTCAATCCTATTTTGATCGCCTGTTACCTGCAATAAATTGGTGACTACATGTGCGCATCGAAATATGATCACAGATAATTTTTAGGGTATAAAGCCCGATAAAGTACCGGCTCCTAGTGGCATAGGTACAATTGAAGATTATTGGGGTCCATCAAAGAAAGTTCTCGGAGACATGAAGTTTCTAGAGGGTTTAATTGCATTTGATAAAGACAACATACCCGTCGAAGTAATGAAAAAGCTGAACAATACCGTTTTGACTGACGAAAATTTCGATCCTGATAAGGTTAAGTCGGCCTCGACAGCTGCAGAGGGTACGCGATCGCTGATGTCTACATCTACCCAACTCATATTGTCTTTGGTTTAGGTCTTTGTAAGTGGGTACTGGCCATTGCCAAATATGACAAGGTCGCGAAAGTGGTGGCGCCCAAAAAGATCGCACTAGCGAAAGCGGAGGGCGAATTCGCCGTGGCGATGGCGGCGTTAGAGATTAAAAGGAACATGTTACGGACCGCCAAAGAGAAAGTCGCCAAATTAGAAGCGACTTTGGAGAGCGAAAATAACAAGTTTCAAAATCTAACGGACGAGGCGAATTTGTGCGCCAAGAAGTTGGAAAGAGCCGAAGAATTAATCGGTGGTTTAGGGGGTGAGAAAACACGTTGGTCGAATACCGCCGTTCAGTTGGGAGTAACTTACGTACTTCTTACAGGTAAGCTATTTCGAGTGCTCGTGACATAATTTGTTACAACTTTGTTTCAAGGTGACATATTAATAAGTTCTGGAGTGGTAGCGTATCTGGGACCGTTTACTATGCAATTTCGAGTACAGCAAATAGAAATGTGGGTTAAGCATCTTAATTTACTGGGAATTACGTGCTCGAAGGACTTTCAGTTAACTGCTATATTGGGAGAAGCGGTTGTGATAAGACAGTGGACTATCTACGGATTGCCATCCGATTCATTTAGTATTGATAATGGAATTATTGTGGCGTAAGATTTATTGTTTTATTCATCACATTCATTAAACATGATGATGTTTTGATTGCACAAAGCATATGCAATCCAAATTCCATTTTCTTTTACATTATGGGTACTTATTTAAATATTTTGCTATGTTTACAACGAACATTTATCAACCCCTATATTTTGGCCACGTTTCTGTCTACCTAAATATGGCAATTTCTTTACTCAAAAATTACTCACTTTCTAAATGACTTCACAGGTAGGTAATACTTTTATGTAATACAGAGTGGCAAAGATCGATACCTTTAAGAATTTTGTTTAGCCCTAATAGAATATTTTTTAACGAAATTTCTTAAAGAGAATACAAATCACGAAAAATTACAATACCTTACATTTAGCGCTCTCCGGAGGAAAACTCCTACAGAAAAAATTGGTGCGACTCTTCTCCCAGAGATGGTACTGAATGGACCATAGATAATGAAACTTAGATCTTTGGGAGGACTAACATTGGTGTTTTTAGGATTCATTTTGAGGTTGACGCTTTTGGTGTAATTTACTGGACATTGCACCTTCCACGTTTAATGTTGCGTTGACAAGTAGCTTTCGTTTTCACAATACAATTTTTTTTAAACTCATTCCAAATTCAGTTACAGTTGTTTTTTTTACAATTTGATTTAAATTGTTCTGGGCAACTTTCGAAAACCCCATTAAAATAGTATTTCCGCTCGTCGCCAATAACCTTCACAAGCCATTAATCGATCAAAACGTGCAAGAGAACCAGTGAAACACACAAATACAGGTCGACAATTTCATTAAGAACTTAATAAAATTTGTATCCAATCTGACCCTCTAATGGGAATATCCTGTATACTCCCTAGTACCCCAACGAAATTCGAAAAAAAATCAAATCCATTCAAGAGCTCCCGTTACACATTGTAGTTGAAGGTCCTATAATTATTTCTTGAGACACTATAATGAAATTCAGATGGCAGCGTTACAGAGATATTGCAATGCTTTCTATATGCGAGAACGTTGCCAAAGGCTACCAGTTGATACCGGACGTTTGTGTCATATCGATGTCGAAACGGTTGTAAGTGTTAAATGTTTTTGACTATTTGTCAAAATAGTAAATAGCAAAAATTACAATTGCAGTAGGATTGGCAACGCTGTAATATCCTATACATATTGTACTGCCATCTGAATGTGAATTCCACTGTCACAGTTTCCCAAACATAGCATGCCATGGTTGTGCCAACCAGAGTGGTACTGCTAGTAGTCACGTCTGCCTTATCTTGACCAATTTTTTCCAACACCCTAAGTAATATTGCGAAAGGTGAAAACTTTAGCAAGTCTACGCGCCTATTGAACCAGGTTCTTTTACCTGGGAGAACAATTTTTTACATTTTGTATTGATGCAAAGAGTCTTAGTGATGGGTCCATTCTGTCACAAATACGAGGTGAAGATCCCTAGATTTCTTTTGTCGCTTCATTGCCAGATCGACTTGGAGACAAAGTAGGATATTTTAAGCTAGCCACCCTATTAATGTATGAAGGAGTTTACCTGACAACTAGTTTTATTTAATTTTCAAATACAGTACTCTACCCGGTAGTTTATTAATTGCATCGAAAGTCACTTGCAATGCGCAATTTTCCACTTTAATTCTTGGAACTAGCCCGAACTTTTATCGCGTCAGATAATAATAATAATAATTTATTACCTAACAGCCAATGCCAATTACAGAGTAATGTTACATAAGCAATATTTTAAAAGTTAAATAATATAGTTTGTAGGGTACCGATGCTCGGTAACGGAACCTCTTACACTGTACTCCCCAATGTATGTTTTCACGTTTGAGGCGCGATTAATCATGGCTTCCGCCTAATTGGGCGACGGCTTCACGGTAATTTTTGTTCTTGTCGCGCTTCGAAACACTAGTGCTTTCGTGACTTGACGCTTAATGCCCCCGCTTCTTAACTTAACTTTTATAATCGCGTAATACCTCACGGGCGCGCTGCTCGCCATATTCTTTTGCAAAAAATACGCCCCAAAAATGACTAACAATCGATTCTACCAATAGAAATTTGCCATAAATCTCCAGTGATTTAGTGGAAAATTTCCGCAGAATTGGCGGTTCTCATGCTGCGTAATACCCTGATATCAAAACGGATTTAATTCAACGCCACCGTCACCATACATCTCATTAATTTTGCCTTACGGTGCGACTTCCGGCCGTTTCAAGCTTTTTAACCCAAATAACTAGCCAGGGTCGTACTCAGAACTATTCACCCAAAAATATCAACCACGACATTGTGAAAAAACCATACCTAATAATGACTCTACTCTTTACACTGTGTCATCCTCACTCAATATTCGAAAAAATTCAAATCCGTAGCAGGCTCCCGTTAATTAAAATTAAGTGCAATCGTCAAGTAAGCTAATGATTTTTATATTTCAGGAATTCTCGCAGATGGCCATTATTAATAGATCCTCAAGGACAGGCAAACAAATGGATACGAAATATGGAGAAATCTAATAATCTTGCTGTTATACGCTTAAGTCAGGCGGATTATGTAAGAGTATTGGAAAACGCTATTCAATTTGGACAACCAGTGAGTAATAATGGAAATTTTATATTATAAATGTTGTACAACTAGGAATTAATGCTTTTTATTCAATCATAACTAACTTCCGCCCTCAATTTTGTAAAATTAATACTTGTATCTTGGGCTTGACGTTGAGGTTCAATGTGAATAGGTAGGCGGATTATTATCTTTACTGGATACTAATAACGGGCGATCAAAAATGATTGGCAGTCGAGTCGCCTTCGGGAGTTCAAGTTAAGTACGATTTCCCATGTAAACAAAAATTCCAAATGTGACTCGACAGCAACTCATTGTTAATCGCATAGTGCTATAGAGATATGCCAAATACCTTAATATATTAATACAGGAAACTCGCTACTGTTTGCATTTGCATAAGCTGCGACACGAAAAAGAGCGCCATCTACACGGCCCGATGAATGACGAAAAATTAAGGAGCAAATTAATAATGTCATTTAACATCTAAGATATGTGATATTACTAAATAACTTAATGTTATCAATTTATCCATAACAATAATAATAAAGCACGTAAAACCATCAATAAAGTTTAAACCAAGTTTGGTAGCTTACTGTTCCACAACGTCGTGGCGCTGTAATTTGCGACCGATTTTCAACGTCACTTTCCTGTATTAATATATTAAGGTATTTGGATATGCGCAGTTCGCCTAGAATTATGACAGCTTTGCGCATGACGTCACTATATTACAATATGACTATCGTTTGTGGAAGTTGCTGCATAGATAAACTGTGCTTTCCCTAATTACATGTCTCTAATATACTAAATACATTACTCTTTACCAAAACCTATGTGAAACTCAGAAAAGGTCTGATTACCATTACCAAGATCTTTTCCTGTTACCTGTTGTGGCATACACGATTATATTTTATACATATTTTTCTTTTATTGTTCCATCTATTAATTTTTTCAACAGGTGCTTTTAGAGAATATTGCTCAAGAATTGGATCCCATTTTAGAATCAGTACTGGGTCGTGAAACTTTCAGACAAGGTGGTACCTTATGTCTAAAACTTGGCGATTCAGTGGTGGAGTATAATAGACAATTTAAGTAAGTCTATTTAATAGCTTGCTTGTCAAGTGATTTGTGTTCTGTAGGTTTTACATCACTACAAAAATGCGCAATCCTCACTACCTGCCCGAAGTTGCAGTAAAAGTAACTTTGGTCAACTTTATGATTACCACGGTTGGATTGGAAGATCAACTGTTGGGTATAACCGTTGCAAAAGAAAGGCCGGATTTGGAAGCTGAAAAGAACCAGTTGATTTTGCAGGGCGCTGAAAATAAGCGGTGGGTGTAGTCTGCTATATTTAGATTTTTCCTACATTGACAATTTCAGCATGTTGAAAGAAATCGAAGATAAAATTTTGGCTGTGCTTAGCGAATCTGAGGGGAATATACTGGAAGATGAAACTGCCGTTCAGATCTTAAGCTCGTCAAAAGTGTTGTCGAATGATATTGCATCCAAACAAGCGGTCGCCGAGGAGACAGAGAAAAAAATAGATTTGGCGAGACTGGGATACACTCCCATCGCAGTACATTCGACGATTTTATTTTTTACTATCGCTGAACTTGCGAATATTGATCCGATGTATCAGTACTCCCTGGTGTGGTTTATGAATTTATTCCGAACATGTATTGACAATACTGATCGAGTGGATGATGTGGAACAGAGATTAAAAGATTTGGAAAAGGCGTTTACGTACTCGTTGTACGTCAACATATGCAGAAGCTTATTCGAAAAAGTAATCGAATTTCGTATTTAACTCAACTAATAATGATCTTCAGGACAAGCTTTTATTTTCTTTATTATTGGTCGTTAATCTGTTGAAAAGTCGTAACGCCGTAAATATAGCAGAATGGATGTTTTTGCTAACAGGAGGTGTCGGACTAGATAATCCAAATCGAAATCCTAGTAATTGGCTGGTAGTAAAATGTTGGGACGAATTATGTCGCCTGACCCATTTCCCAGCTTTCCGGTTCGTAGTGCTGCTGCTTGTGAATGTTACTAATTGTAATTACAGTGGCATTATGGAACATTTCTGTAGCAATGTGGCGGAATGGCGAAAGGTGTTTGATAGCCCCGAGCCACATGTATATCCCCTTCCGACACCATGGGATTCGAAACTTACACAGTTCCAAAAACTTCTGGTACTAAGGTGTATAAGACCGGATAAAATCGTCCCTGCAGTACAGAAATTTGTGGAAGGTAGGTATGATAGATGTCAAGGAAGAGAGAATTTCTTGGGATTATTCTTCAATTTACTTGGATGGGTAATAGTAATATTGCCTTTTTGGCAATTTACAACGTTTTTTATCTCGTCTCCCCACGTTTTATTTGCTTTATCACTGTAGGGCAAGAGAATAAAGTCAGTTTGAACATCCAGTTGAATTTGACTTTAGGGTCAACAATAGTGATTGATCTAATTTGATCATGTACCTACTCAATTTTATCCAGTCCCTTGCCAGGAGCTAATCTCATCACCACTTAATTCGGTAGAACTCTACTACTGACTTTAACGGCGGGTTCAAACTGACTATAGAACTGGTTCTTGATGAGACTAACTGCTTAAGAGAGGCAGAAAAAAACTATTATAGTATTATAGGTTCCGTGCAATTCGACATCCAAAAGAAAAAAAAGCTTGAAAACTCAAAACTTTATTTTATTTTCATGAAATCGCCATGCGCCGACAATATTCTGCGCTACTCAACCCAAGCCGGCGGATGACGTGTTGGAACGTCAATGGCACTACGACTATATACTATAAGAGAAAATATACAGGATGCGTCAAAAAGTAGATTTTGATACCAAGTTGGTTTTTTAAATGGAACGGTATTTCTTAAATCCATTTTGGAATTATTGTTATTATGTGTAGAATTTAACACAGAATTCGAAAATTAATTAAAAAAAATACTGTTGCATTTAGAAAAATATTTGGCATCAAAATGTACTTTTTGACGCACCCTGTATATCTTATCGTTAGTGCAAACAATGCGAAAGAAAAAATTATGATAGACGAGTGCGAGCATTTTTTTGAAACCCAATACCTGCTTTTTAAATGAACTTGTTCCATATTTTAGCCACTCACTGTATTGTGTATAAATGTTGTGTGCAATGGTGAACTAAACCACCCAAAATCTTTTCTAAGAAATAATTATAATTTTTCCCGGGACGTCTAGAACACGACTCCGCTTAACTCGACTTAACGTTCACCACGGCGTAAAAAAAACTATCCAGCTTTCCTCTACAAAAACTTCACAATTAAACAAAACTAACTCTCTTCAAAAACTCTCGATAACGGCAAAACTAACTGTTTTGCAACAAATACGTTCACCAAACCAAAGAGCTACGATTAACGTCTTCCTCTGCTATTTAAAACAATTTCCATTTCAACTGCTAGCTCGACTTCCTTAACAAATTAATTGTGCGTCATTGAACGACAAACTGCTCTTTACGCGGAAAACATCTGCTTAACTCGCCGATAACATGTGCTTGTCTTGGGACTAAGTAGGTTTCGCAGCGAAGACTTATCATAAACGACCGGAGATAAAAGTTAACAAATCTTACGCAATTATAATTCATAAATCTAATCTTTTTAATACGTAATAAAATTTAACAACTAAATAAAATACAAGGAAATTTACGTACAGGGTAACCTATTGTTATTATAGGTGCTGAATCCAAACAAAACGCCTACATGGCGTAGTTTACACAACATTAATTAGGGAGCGCGATATTCAAGTAAACCAAAGCCAGAGATAAAGGCAAATTAAATTTTGAATGGTATGTGGTAGGTACTAACACAGTACAATGTTATCGGAAAAGATACAAGGGTTAAGGGTAGAAGAAATATTTAGAAAAAGAAAATAAGTAGATCTGCTAATCGATATGATGAAAGTACCGATGAACAATGCAAACAGTAAATTTAGAGGAGTGGACTGTATTAATATGAATTGATCAAAAGAAACGCACGCAAGACAACCTCATTAAATAACAAAAATTGCCTACCTTGCTGTCGCGCAGTATGGTAATGATGGCGATTGTGGTACACGTTCGTTTTGCCAAGTATTTGGGGGTGTCACACACGAGAGAGAAATATATCTTTATTCAGCGCACGCGTTTAGTTGAGTCTCGTCGATCAAGTGCCAAAACCTTCCTTTTTGGCGAATGCGCGCGACTCTTCTCGGCGGGTATAACAAGGCTGTTTTGCTAAACGCGACAACATAGAGAGCCAGGAAATTTTTAAATTAAATATATTTATATAAATCTCAGTTTACACCAATTAATAAAAAAATAATTGCTGATTTGACTGAACAGTAAACAAAATAAAAATAATCACAGTGTAACAAAAAAGAATGAAGGAATTGAAGAAATTAAATAGGTGATTATGATAGCAAACAGAATAGGAAAAACAGGAAAGTATCGAATAATATTATTGTTCTTGGTGATATCAAACGTAAATATACAGGGAATTTTTTAAAATGTGGTTTTTAAAAAACCATGTCAATGCATGGAATAGATGGCTAGAAGTACACTAACTCAATGTAATACAGTCACTGTAGCTATAGGCAACCCACTCTATACGCAATATAATTGCAATTTTTTTGAGAAAATTATCCATTTCTGTCGGAATGTCGAAAAAAGCCCTCAAGCGGTGATATGTGAAACTAAAAAAACTTCAAATATTATAATATTTGTAGCTGAAAAATACCGCTTTTGAACTAACTCGAGTTTGTTTGAATCGGCCATTGAGTTAGAAAACTAATGGAGGGAATCAAATGCTTGGCCAGACGTAGACCACGGGAATCAAAAGTGGCCTCTAGCTGTGATTAAAGTACCACACCACTTCCGTTATCATTAGCGTCTCACTTCAGTGGCGTAGAGATATAATTTTCTTTCCACTAATAGGAATAATAACAAAAAAACGTATAGGAGTAAAATACATGCTCGTGGTAAAGTAAACAAAATAGACAAGGATGGGAAAGTATGCAGATTTAATATGTATAATCGTTGATTACAAATCTAAATATACATCGATGTGTTCCAGTAGTATAATTAAGGCCAGTTTACTATAGCCAGAGCCACTACAACTTGACAACTCCCATTAAATTCATTGTGTTGATCAATAGCTACAATTGACTGGTTGGTCTCAGGTTCCTTACAACGGCAGAGAGATTCAATAATTAGGTAATTTATTGTTTATTGGTCTCAAAATGTATCCGCACTCGTAAAAAAACTTACACCTGATATCCATATTCTAAACTCACACGTTTAGCTGTAAAAACAAGTTTTGATAGTACCTACTGCATATTTGTTAAACATTTTCCGGTGCAACCTTTGGTCGAAATCATAGTCAATGAAGCGTTGTGAGCACAAAAGCAAATTTCGAGAGCTGTTCATAAGATATATTTACAAATGTTAGGTAACCATTTTGCACGAAGTACTGGTTCGTTTGGAAAACTAAGAAACATAAACTAGGTACCTACAACCTCGCCTACAACATGATAAATGACATATTGTCTTACCGATGAAAGGAAATGCCCTGTTTCTTCCCTTTATGAGAAATTTTGCATGATACGCAGCTAATCATTCTCAATTCACAAAATTGCGTGTGATAAAAACACTATGCGGCAGTTAGTTATTTATATAAACCAGAGCACAAACCGATCCGAAATTATTAGGTACTTTAAAATGGAAAATTTAATAAAATTTGAATTTGGTGGAAAACTGACAGTGACAGGACCCGCGTTTTCATATGTCAAATAATGTCGGCCAAAATGTACCTTCACGGGAACCTATCCACGCGAGTGGCCTCTATCTGTGGCAACTTCCGTCTACAAAAATTCTTACCCCCTCTACCATTATATTCCCTCCATTAGTTTTCTAACTCAATGGAATCGGCTCAGCTGTTTCGAAGATACAGGGTGTTCTTTACGGAAAGCTTTGAATACCCCCCACCACTTCATTTTTAGAGATACAGCAATAATTGTCAAACAAAAAAGGTTCAGATTATCGTCGACTTCAAAGACCGAGCATTTTTTTGTTAGGTTAATATAGCGTAATTCACAGAAACAAAACTTTTCTATTCCAGTAAAGTCACTAAATATAGAAAGTACCGCAATCATCCGCCATTTTTTGGGCAAATTTGCTGCCAACTTAAAAAAATTGACAAATAAAATCTGAATAGCTGTCATTTTTCATAACCTAACTTCATAGTACTGTCATGTTTTATAAAAATATATACAGATATCTCCAAACAGGTGGAACAATCCCTAACATTAAAGTTACTAGAATCTGGTAACTTCCGCCATTTTTGGGCAAAAATCATGCGTTCTCTCTCTAACACACGAGCTCAATGGATTGCGGTACTTTCTTTATTTAGTGACTTTAGATTCCAGATTGCAGTTACGCCTCCTAGCGGCCATTTCAGAAACTTAAAAATATTTTCCAGGTTTTTCTCTTTGTCGTTTTAGTAATAACTATTTTTACCGCAAGCCTTTACGATGGACAGGTTCCCAGATACGGTACTTCGCATTCTTATTTGGCCACCCTGTACACAGGACCGCCACCGCGATATGGTGGCGGTGAGTTGACATATAATGCAGTTTTATAAAACTGGAACTATAAAAAAAAAATAGCTAATTTTCACCATGAGGTAGATATGTGGTAAAGTTTCAATTTTAAGCATAGGTACGTCTGGACATCGTTTATATTTTATTACTTTTCCGTACCTCTGTATGGGTAGGTAAAGTAGGTATTGTTTTCGTCTCAAGAGAAAGTCCGTTGTTGTGTTGTTATTGTTGTTGTCTAGCTTGAAAGTTTAACAGTAGCACCTTTTAATAATGGCAAATCGATCAATGATATTAAACTTATGAAAAACTGCGCGCGCTGAATGCGCAGAGGTAAATTTCTTGTTTTAACAGTAGCACCCTTTAATAAAGTAAAATCGATCAATTATATAAACTTCTGAAGAACTGCGTGTGCGCATGCGCAGAGATGATTTGAGACTCGGATTTATAACAAGGCCATTTTTTTGGTGAGCTTTCTCCAGTTTTAAAAGCACAGATTAACATTTACATTTGAATAATTCCTAATTATGCCATGTTATATTTTGCAATATTTACTTTATGCCTTATTTTAGCACAACTTGGAAGGACGTACATAGAACCGCCCCCATTCGATTTAGCGTCCTCGTACGCCGATTCACATTGTTGTATACCGCTAATTTTTATTTTGACGCCCGGCGCGGATCCAATGGCTGTCCTACTCAAATTTGCAGACGATCAAGGATTTGGATCGTCACGCCTATACTCCTTGTCTTTAGGTCAAGGTCAAGGGCCTATTGCTCTCCAGTTAATTGATGAAGGAGTGCGCACTGGTACTTGGGTAGTTTTGCAAAACTGCCATCTGGCGAAGAGCTTCATGCCTTCACTTGAACGAGTAATATAGTTCGCGATTTATCTCGCTAGGTAACTAATTGTGTGGTGCTTTAGATTTGTGAGAATTTCTCAATCGAGACCACCCACCCTGACTTTCGTTTATGGCTTACCTCGTACCCAGCGGATCATTTTCCTGTTGTTGTATTGCAAAACGGCGTCAAGATGACTAACGAACCCCCAAAAGGTTTACGAGCCAATATAACCAGATCGTATTTGAGCGATCCTATTTCGGATCCCGACTGGTTTGAGAACTGTCAGCAAGGACACGCATTTAAAAAGTTATTATTCGGTTTGTGTTTTTTCCACGCCGTTATTCAAGAGCGGAGAAGCTTCGGTCCTTTGGGCTGGAATATACCGTACGAATTCAACGAAACTGATTTAAGGATAAGCGTTATGCAGCTACAAATGTTTCTAAATCAATATGAAGTATGAGCGGTATACATTTAGAAGGAATGCTCTTCATATTCGAATTTTTAGGACATTCAGTATGATGCTATAACATATTTAACAGGCGAATGTAATTATGGCGGCAGAGTGACGGATGATTGGGATAGAAGGTGCTTGATGACAATTTTGAAACGATTCTATTGCCCTGCTCTGGTTGAAACTCATAATTACCCAATTGATCCAACAGGTAAAATTGTACTGTATAATAGTTAACTTACAAAATCTTCTGCAGGTCGCTACTACGCTCCCGACCTTGCAGACTACGAGGAATTTATGAATTATACTAAATCTTTGCCTTTAATTACTCATCCTGAGGTTTTTGGTATGAATGAAAATGCCGATATTGTCAAAGACCAAAAGGAAACAAATCTACTATTTGCCAATACTTTGTTAACACAGGTAGGTAAGTGTTTAGCTTTCAAAAAATGGAACTGGTGGAAAGAGCCTGTTTTTCAATCATAAAAAAATTTGGGTATGTTGATCTAATAACATTAAAATATGCGGGTCCCTCCGAAAATTTCTGCAAACTATGGCACAAACTACTCGGATATAAAAAATAGTTATTTGTTTCATTAGTACAAAAAATGTCAGGTAAATGAGTTTTTACTGGCTCTAGGAGATGACAGGCTCGCCTAACGGCTCGCCAGTCAACTTCTCCTACCGCCAGTAAAAACTCACTTACCTGGCTAATAATATATATAATAATAATATACTATTCAATACTATTCAATACATGTAGGTACATAGGTATAGGTAACAGCATTATTTGCATTGAATATGCAAAAATATTTGATTTGTATGTATAGAAATACCTTACAACCTGCAATGTAAAACGATGTCAATGTGACATATCTCCGTGATTGTAATTTTTTAATTGGCCAACTTTCAAGGTCAATTTCTTTTTGGTACTAGGACCAAAAGTATCCACTTTTTGTACAGTTTCCATGGTGATCCGGAAAACGCCAATTTTATGTACCGAACACTGTCACAAAATAGCGTCAAATTGAGGTGGTTGGGGAAAAAACTTATTTTAATTTTTTTTTACTATTCTCCTTTTAGCTTGAATTTATCCATTTGATAAAACCAATCGTTAAAATAGCGCGGATATAATTTTTTAATTGGTAGACAATTTTTTCTGGAACTTTAGCTGAAGGTGCTTTTGATAAAAACGAATTGAGCCCACGTGAAAAAATGGGCTGTGTATGCGCAGAGTAAACTTTTTTAGTTGTAGGCGGCATTTTAACAGAAGGTGCTTTTCGATGAAATAAATTGATCGCACATATCAAAGAATATATTGCACATGCGCAAAATCATTTGTCTTATTTGTAAGGTTTTTTTCTGATAGATAGGATACTGAACGCGTATTTCAAAAATTGGATCATACCTGCGTAGAATCTTGTATTTGTAAACCAATTCTTCTACAATTATTTTAGGATGCACTCTCAAGCGGCGGAGCAGCCAAATCTCCTGACGATATCGTCTTTGATGTGGCAACGGATATTTTACAAAAATTACCGCCGAATTTCGATCGAGACGCCGCAATGGAGAAATACCCCACTGAATATATGCAAAGTATGAACACAGTTTTGGTGCAAGAATTTGTCAGATTCAACAAGCTATTGACTTGCATCAGAAACAGTTTGATTAACGTTAAGAAAGCTATCAAAGGTAATATACACTTTTGTTTGCTTTATGCTGTTTTTTTTGCATAGGTCAAATTGTTATGTCTCTGGATTTGGAAGAAGTTGTTACCAGCATGTTAACCGGTAAAATACCGGCAATGTGGGCCAAGAACTCTTACCCGTCCCTAAAACCCCTAGGTAGTTACGTTAACGACTTTCTGGCCCGTTTGGAGTTTTTGCAGGTTTGAAACCGAAACAAAGTGCAACCTACTGTACTTGTTTTAATTTTTAGAAATGGTATGATGAAGGACCACCTGTGACATTTTGGATTTCCGGTTTCTTTTTCACGCAGGCTTTCTTAACGGGCGCGCAACAGAATTACGCTCGAAAGTTTAAAATACCAATTGATTTGTTGGCCTTCGATTATGAGGTTCTACGGGACACAGTGTTTGAGGAACCTCCCAGCGATGGTGTTTATGTGTATGGTTTATTTTTGGAAGGGGCTCGATTTGACTTCAACAGTATGGCGCTTGGCGAATCATACCCTAAGGTGCTCTACGACACGATGCCATTTGTAAGTTGCTAAAGTGTCAAGTTGGTATGGTTACTTACATTTTATTTTTTAGCTATGGTTTGTGCCATTAAAACGTAGCGATCTGATACCACGCTATAGCTACGTGTGCCCAGTCTATAAAACGTCTGAACGCAGAGGGGTTCTGTCCACCACTGGACACTCCACAAATTTTGTCATTCCTATAACGTTGCCAACTAAGAAACCACCAGCGCATTGGGTGATGCGAGGAGTCGCGTTGTTGTGTCAGTTATCACAATAGTTGTATTTAATTTGTAATAACTATTTATTATTGTGACTTTGTAATAGATTACTATTAAACGCAATAAAATGGGAACGCAGCCAGCAGGCTCAAATGATTCATTTACAGAAACCAGATGCTGAAGGTCTGTAAAAATGAAGCTAAGTTAAGGGCAGTAAACTACGAACTGAGAGAGCCCAGGTTCAATTCCTGGTCCCGCTTGAGGCTAGACTATCTTTGGCGTTTCTCGTCCATTGGGTCCACTCGGCCTCTAAATAGAGTTCCTGGTAATAATATTGTGGCTAAGGTGCGCAGTGCTAGACACATTATTTAGTGGTTTATGTGGTGGTTAAATATTCTGACGAGTCTGTTTAGTGCACCTGTTTTTTTTTCATTTCGTTTATAGCGCGTACGAATAACAAGAGTTTTATTGCTTTACCTAGACTTCAAATTCTTTAAAGTTTTAGTACGACTTCAAATGGTAACAGCTTGTGTGAATTCAATAAAAGTAGCAATGTTAGCCATTGACATGTGAACTTCAATTGCATGACAAGCAATGAAAGAATTAGCAAGGTAATTCTTTCATTTACCATTTATTCACGAATTAAAGACTGTATAATTTACACGCGTTCAATATTATTATTTCTGTTTTTATCGTTCCACTGTTGGTACCTACTTTTCACAGTTACTCTTGATATGACCGGATTTTTTACACAAGAAAACACTTCGTTTCTTTTTATTTTCGGTAGAATGACTATTCACCGCTTTGATCTTCTTTCGTATTCAGCAATATCCTTTATTGTTATACCAACGCGTCTGTAAATTCATTCTCTGGACGTGATTCATAGTGTAGTGTACTTAAGGGTGTAATCCAGTAGTACAACATTTATACAAAAATAGTGCGATTTATATTTCGTCTCAATTCTGTAACACATGAGATGAAAGACGGGGCTAATTTTTTTCGTGTAAATTATACCTACATTAAAAAGTATGCTACTGAACAAAATTTTAATATTTAAGAAAAAACAATTTTTTAGAGCACTGCCAATAAAAAGTGAACTTTTATAGGTAAAATGGCGTCAACACAAATTATTTTAAAAATCTCCCTGTAGCATACTCAGAAAAAACATTAGCAAACCATAGAGCCATCGACCAACCTTTCACATAAATTACAAAAAATTTTAGACGAAATATTCATTCGAAATTTTTTACGAAAACTTGTAGCGTTTAGTGAAGTCATTCACCATTTATAAATGTACAGTAGGCAACACATCATACGGCAAGCCTGACTTCATTAGCGGCATTGTTGCGTTTATCGGGACTAATTTACAAAAAGAAACCGCATTCATTAGAACGTATTATAATTCCATAATATACTGGGTAATAGAATTCACACGGAAAATGTAATTTATTTTTGGGTGAATTAAAAGTTTGCGTCTTTTCTGACGTTTTTTGTAACACCCCTAAAATTTTAGTGTGAAAAAATTTTGAGATTATTCCCATGTAGCATCCTTCGGAAAGAGATATAATTTGCGTAAAAAGCGTTAGTTCTCATTTATTTTGTGTTGTTCCCGAATTAGACGATTTTGTGTAACACATCTAGAATATTAGTAAAAAAATGTACCTACATTTTAAGATTTTTTTTTAAGATATCTAATTGATAGGTAGGTACTTATTCGATTACATGCGTTATTTTCCAGATAGAGTCAATACAATTCATGGAGTAATTACTGAGTTAAAAAAAATATATACGTCTTATTAAAAACTGGGAAAAGTGAAATTATTGAGGATTAGCAGTTGTGACAATGATTTGCGTTATCTAATCGATGTTTAATATATGCATATATTCGTCACATGGCCCGTATGAATAAAAGTAAGCAAATGCTTATACTTGCAAAATTCAAAGTAAATACTCGTTAGTGCTCCTTCGCACTGGGCGACTTAGCAGCGCTGCTAAGCAGAAGGACAGGACGCAGTGCAGCGCTGCTAAACAAACCAGTATAAAGGGGCACTTACGAGTATTTACTTTGAATTTTGCAAGTATAAGCATTTGCTTACTTTTATTCATACGGGCCAATGACTAATGACCTGGGTAAATTAGCGTAATTACTTGTTTGCTTTATAAGTACAATAAAGTATTCTAAATACTTAAATTCTTCAATCTTTGTTTATTTGTTACCATTTCATTACAAGTATTATGCAACCCATCATACGTCAAATAGAATTAAAATTTAAGTGGAATCAAAAGAGTAACTAATAATAAGAGATGCAGCGTGAAATAGTTTGAATCTACTCAGCGCTGGGAGGGCGATACCCTGGCCCTCTAGTAACTGAGTTGAATAACTAAAATGTGCCGTAAAGTTGGTGAGATTATAGGTACCTGCAGCAAAACGGTAACATTATTCATGGCGGTGTTGCCAAAGATACTCTCCATAATTTCAAAGCTGTGTGGGCGAGAGTCAGGTTACTCAAAGCAATGCGTATTAAACTAACAACAACATAATTGTCTCGCACTTCCCCGGTGATCACCTTTCAGTGCGATCATTCTATAAATAAAAAATATGACCTGCCACCTGTTTAATTTTTCAATTATATTATTACTGTCCTATAAATACTTACTCCCATTATTTACTATTTACATACCTAAACCCTGCTTTGTACTTGTTTACATCTGCCCTCAATCGATATGCAGTCAATATTTGATACCGCCCAGTGGCGGATTAAACCCTTTAGAGGCCCTAAGCATAACGCCCTTTTGAGGCCCCTCTCCTAATAAAAATTCAAAATTTTTTAACATTTTTAAATCAATGTGAAATTTAATTTTGATTATGGTATAATCACAAATATTGGCCGTTTTATAATGATCAGGTCTGAAAAACTGATGGAATGTCTACTCACATCCATTCAATCATAACCGAGGTGTTACCTTCCCTTCTACTTTAATATTAATTGATGTAAAGTAGGGTTCTAATTCAAACATTGTCTAAAATTTAACGTTTTATTGCAATATTAAGGTACCTACCTATAAACTATTACAACTTATAAGGGAACTTTTCTGGATTTAAGGTAAGAAAAATGAGCAATTCATAGTCCAATAATTGTACAATATCAGCCTCAATAAACATGACGGACAAATTATTTAAATTACTTTGGCCAAGAGAATTTCGTAAATGATTTTTTCTCGTTTAAGACAGGAAAAGGAACGTTCGCCACTAGCGTTACAAATAGACATGGTTAAAAATATTTTCAAAATAGTTTCCACATTAGGGAATGTAGATTGCAGCCCGTCAAGTAATACTTTATATATCTGGACACAATGGCTTTGCAAACCCACAATAGTCTAGTGGTATTGGGGGTTGTCGTTGTCGTTTATAAATTCCAGGACGTACAATAAACAAAAATCAATTTTTCCCAGAGATTTTTTCTTGCTAGTTATTAGTTTTGGAGGCCCCCAGACAAGATGAGGCCCCAAGCACGAGCTTATTGTGCCTGAGCGGTGATCCGCCTCTGATACCGCCAATCCCCTAATATTATAACATGTTTGATGTTTTGTAAAAATCCTATTTCTTTTAGCGCTACCATCGTATAAGCAAATCGTAATAATTATTTGATATCAGAATAAGAAAGATTCCTTATTCAAGGGCGCTAACGCTAACGACGAAGTGAAAACACATAAACAAAATATCGCAATTTGACAACAATTCATAATTTTTTTAAACTCATTACCAAACTCATTACCAAAGGCATTTACAGAGAAGTTGTCTTGTCATGCATCGAAGGCGCGAATACTCGTCATTTAGGTAGGTATAGTTTGCACCTAGGTGAGGACCTTTGAATTTATAACTGTCAAATTCAATGCTGCGACCTTTTTCTACTTGGTCAGATGAAACAAAATGTAATTGTACAGCAAGATCAAGGAATAGGTGCGTTTTGTGCTCGTTACGTCCATACTTTCTTCGAGATCGTTTATAATTTGTATTACTGTCTGTCTCTCCGTGTACCTACACGATATCTTTGTTTAGAAACGTCCAATCGCTTTGAAAAATGGTACACATAACACAGTTAACATGTTCTCAAATAAGAACTACCTACTGTTTTTCAGCTACGTAGACCATCGGGTCCTAAAGTTACAGCCCAAACACAATCTCGAGGATGGTTGGGTATCAGTTAGTATATCGGATTTTTGTATTAACGCATACATCAGGGAAAACCTGGAAGATTTCTACCCACAATTGATAGGAGACGTAGACGGATACGTGGAGGGAAGAAGGAGAGAACCAGCAGGGTTGCGGAAATCGTAATCAAGAAGCACCGATGCATTGAGGCGGAGAAATTTGAAGGAAAAACAAGAGTATATCCATGGCCCAAATCAAGATGAAAATAAGAAGACTAACAATCATAGGATGCCACATCCCCTCGGACAAAAGAGGGCAGGCGGAACTCAGAAATCGAAGTGAAACAACAACAAAAAGTGCGAAAAGAACCGAGGTATCATACTAGGCGACTTCAATGCACAACTAGGCAGACTGGACGGAAGTGAATAGGAGGAAGGGAACGGCAACGACCTTTACGAACATGGTACACCTACATGGACTGAGGGTAGAAAACATATTCGGCAAGTCCAAAATGGTAACATGTAATCAAAGGAAATAAGCGTCACGAACACAGCAGGCATATGGGCAAAAAACAGTAGGATCGGACCACAAAATGGTAAAGGGGAAAGTAAAGAGGGGGGAGGGGAAGAAGAGAACAGGAAGGAAAGGACAAGGAGCACAACGGGGAAACCGAAGGGCGGAATGTGAAACTTCTGTCAGGGGAGAAGAAAAGAAAGGAATACCGAAAGCAGTGGTAAAAGATCAGAAGCAAAAAGGGGATGGGATACCATATGGAAAAAGATCGGCGAAACGATCAAAGAAGCAACAAGGGAAACACTAGGGAAACAGAAACCGCCCATGTGACCGAACAGAAAGCGGGCCAAAGCCCACACTATCCTGAAACAAAGAAGAAGCTAAGGGAAGCCAAGGAAGAAGAAAACAGAGCCTATGAGCAACACGAAATCAAGGAATTCGACGAGTTCGCGGAGAACATCACCAAACTCAGACCAATGGAGAGGAATACGGAAATGTAATGGTATAGGCACATCAGAAAATATAAAAGGAGGAAACAAGGGGGAAACAGAAAATATATACCAATGACAGCATGGGCGATGCTGGGACTACCCAAATTCCTAATCAACAGAACCATACACGCGTGGCAAAGGGAGTATACTAGTATACAATGGTTTTGGAAGAAAACCGAACACCAAAAGAAAACCAGGGGGATCAAACAAGGATGTCCGTTTCCCCAAGGCTCTTCGAGATAGCACTAGACCATGCTATAGAACAAACAAGGATGGTGGTGAGGAACCTTAGCATAGGCGACCAATTACAACTACCGACATTACTGGCGTACGCGGACGATCTACTCGTAATCGCGGATAATTTTTAAGACACTGAGGACTTCGTCCAGGCCATCGGGATACCAGGTACACCAGGAAATGGTGGACCTACAAATATACAACGAAAAGAGCTACATGATGACAAGAGTGCCAGCAAACAACACCCCCAGTACAAAGGAGAGAAGACCATAGCCGGGAAGGAGATAACCATGAAGCACAAGATCAAATATATGGGAACGTAAGTACATAAGCAGCACCCTCAGCAGGCACAACGCAGTGAAAGACAGAATAACCAACGCATTCAGAATCGCACACGGAATCTGGAACTTCATACGAGCGAAGAAAATACCGGACAGGTTGAAATGATGATTTACAACACGATCGTAGCACCGACAATCTTATACGGAATTAACACTTCAGCGCCAACAAAGAGCAACAGACGAACATTGAGGAGGGCAGAGTGGAAGGCACTCAGGATACTGAGGAAAACAGCAACCTCACAGGAAAGCAGAGAAGAGAACTATTAGAGGGAAAGACGATTGCCAGGAGACTGAAGATGAGGCAGATGAGATACTGGGGACATACCAACAGGAGGAACAAAGACCATATCATTCGGGCTGCCAAGATTCTATGTGCCTCGGAACGGAAGGTAGGCCGACCCTGCCAAACATGGAACACCACCATAAACCAAACGGTAGAGGTCTCGGGGATTACCATGAGAAGATGGGAGAGAATAGCAGAGACAAACATCAAAGGAAGAAAGAAAGCAGAAGAATACTGGAGGTGGAGGAATAATCAGCCACAAGGACAAGTAGCCAAGGGGAGGAGGAAAAGGGGACAGAAAGTAATGCGGGGAGAGGACAACAATAAAAAGAGCCTAACACGAGGGAAAACAGGGAAGGGAACGAGACCAAAGGATAGGAACATCGGAAGCCAATGAACGCCCGGAAGCTATCACTAGAAAGCAGAGTTCCCTCTAAGGCAGAATACCAGTGGCGAAGCTGTGGCCGTACCCGTTCGGGTCGGATAACACCCAGTTAGCCGCCCCCCACAACCCCCCCAATCCACAAAATCCACCACATTGTTTGGCATATGTCGCGGCCCAGCGCGATGGCAACAAAGTAGTGGAGAAACGTCCCTGATAGTGTCTACCAGGGACGCATCCTCACGACAGTTGACTAAATCCTGGGAGAGGCGGCGACGCCAGGCATATGTCAAAGTTTCAAGTTTCAAGTTTCAAGTTTTTAGTATTAAAATTTCGCGATGGCTTAGGTACTGTGCATTGTTCGGATGCAACAATGTGCAACTTTTTGATTTACCCGACCATGCTAAACAAAAAGAATTTGGGGGTCTGTTAACCACCATTTTGAATGTCTGGCTAAAGAAAGAAAGCGCAAAATCTCTATAGCTAGTGCCACTTTGAGTTCATTTATCCCTATTATGAATGTTGCAAAAAAAAGACGAGAAGCTTCAGTAATGAGAAGAATACGAATAGGACATACCGCACCCATTCACACCTAATAAAACAAGAAAACCAGCCGACATGTGACAAATGTGGAAACCAACTCACCGTAAACCGCATATTCGAGTGCCCATCCTATAAAAACGCAAAAGAACTATTTGACATCCCGGACTCCATTGAACTTCAACCAATCAACTCACAAAGAATTATAGGCTATATGAAAAATATTAACATGTATTACAACATTTAAAGAATTGTCTCAGCATATAAGCAGGCGCTAATAATCGTAGCAATTGAAGCGCCAAATAAATTACTAAATAAAAAAAAATAAAAAAAACTACGGGAACATGTGGAAATTAGTGAATCGCAAGTTATATCGCACATAGATTTTAAACCGAAGAATTTTTTTGTTAGCAGAGTTTGGCCCCTGAGACAGGTAACGCTGCAGGGCTCTCGTGCGAGATTTCCTAACCTAAAGTTGAGATTCGTGATCACTCACGGCATTAGGTGTCGTAACTAATGTGGTTACAGTTATTTACCACCCGTGACTGCCTTCAAGGCGAAAAGTGTTAGTTGACAAACAAGAAGTCAGTACTGCCCATACACACAACACACAATTCAATGACACAAATTTAAATTAATGGCCAATATATAAATTTAACTTGGAGCCACGACCGCATGTAATTAAAAAATAAAGTTGAGTAACATTTACACCAAAAATGAAAGCCATTTTAAACAAAGTTAACGGTATCAAACGCGTGATTCTGAATTGAGATTAATTCAAGTCAACTTCAAAAGTAAATATTGAAGCTCACAAAAAAATTAAAGTGCGTGCTTACATATGGCCCAAACAGCTTTTCTAAAAGTCGTGCGGTTGCCAGCTCTAAAAAAAAAATATATATATTGTATATATAATCCAAATGTTTTTGACTGAAATCAACGTCCTGATGAGTCAGAAGGCGTCTGGTTAGAGTAGCTGCAGCCGCCCAGCATAATGTTGCAGGTTTATTTGAATAAAACGTTCTTTCATTATTTACGATGTCGTATTTATTCTATTAATTGGTGTTGGATTCAGACTACAACAAAGCCTCGAATTTACCAAACTCTTCCCAGACCCATACGGGACGTGGTGAGGTACAAAAGGTGGAGCTTGCGGTTGCAACCTGGGAATTGAAACTTTGGGTGATACAGGTAATTGCTGTAGGGTGGGTGTCGTCTGTACCATCACCTCCCGATTTAGATGGTTTACCAATCGTGACCATAAGGGTGGAAACCTCCCTCGCCACTAGACTGACCTGGCCGTCTTTCTCAATGCCTGAAATGAGCGTTTCTTGCTGTGTGAAAGACACACCAGTTGCCGATTTTTTCCTAGCAGTTTTGACCTCCAGCCGCCTTTTAACCACCACTAGGTACTCGGGTTGTTCAGAGATACAAATGGTCACCTGTCAGAGCCTAGGAAGCAAATCTTCCTATATGTTGACAATCACCTTTCTTACCCACTCTAGGGAATTGTTACTTTCGCAACGAGCTCCTCAAGATCTCGGCCGAGATAGATGCTGAGGTTCGGTCAGTGAAGGTCAGGGACTTTGGCTGGGCAGTCTCCGCGTGGTTATCCTCGTAGCTGTTAGCATATCTAGTGATTCGTTGGTAGCTCGGTTGGTAGTAATGCTAGCTATTTTGACTTATTCGGCAGCCTCCTTGCAGTTATGTCTTCGGGATGAACCAATTGTTTGTTGGGAGTGCGAACGCTATTTCTTCCTTTTAGGTTGGTCGGGATCAGTTGGTCCGACTTCGATCTTTTCTTGCCTATATTTGGATGCTTACCTGCCGTGCCATGAGTTGGTCTTGGACACCTTCCTCAGTCCTCTGAATGGACATAGCGCCTGCACTAGATCTGGTAGGTTCAGAAACTGGAGTTGGGCCAGCTTGATCTAATCAAGCAATCGTTGCTCTGCTTCTCCTTCTCTGCTCGGCACCGGAAATGCGTTTACCTTTCGTTTTGGATTGTTGGGGCTCAGGATCGCTAAATCTGAAGTGTTTCCCGATACTCTAAATTTTGCTATAAAACTTTTTGATCTAGACCATGACAGAGGGGAGTGATGTTTAACTTGACAAATCTAATAACTTAACTCAGCGGAAACGTGAACTCCATCCATGTCCTAGGGAATCAAATATACCTATCACTTGAAGTCTAATAAATTTTGTTTTTTTATTGGCGTCTTCGGGAATATTACAAAAGCGCATAAACCAAAATCGAATGCAAAAGATATCTCCCAATTTGAAGTACTATAGACACAGATCTAAACACTCTAAATCTGTGCTATAGAGTATAGGTAAATATAGACAAACCTCCATTAGGGTTTAGAAAACCTCACAGCATTGGGATAACGTAATCACGTAAAAGATTAGGGCACGTACGGATAATCGATTAACGTTGCTACGGTAACAAATGAAAGAGTATTTGTGTAATATCTACACGTTGATTTATGATTTTTTACTTCAATTTAATTATTTTTGTAAAGTTGATGTCCGTCAGATGTGCTTACCTTGTCAGTGATGGTTGTAGATGAGTGATTGTGCAAGTGAATAGGTAGACACGGTTTTGTGGATGACAAAAAGCTTGTCAAAAGTTTTGATTGAATGGTTAGGTTGGAGAAGTAAGTAATGTCGTCCAAGAAATTTGAAAGGGAAAAGCTGCTTAAACGGATAGCGGAAAAACGGCAACGATTAGAAAAATCGGGAGATGTAGTCATTAAGATGCCTAAATTATTATTACCGTCCGATTACAACATAAAATCTCAGCCGCTGTTTTCGTTACCTCCTGAGCTCATGAGGCCCATTTTGGCATCTGGTTATCCTGGATACAGAAGAAGTTTGGCACAGGCCAAAAAGAAAGGTACCATTTTGATCTACACCATTGATCTAAAATTTGATTGTAGCTGCTGAAAGGGAATTACGCATGCAGTCGTATACTGCGTTACGGAAACAGAGGGAAGAGTTTCGGAAGAGATTGGTAGATCTAATTGTTAAAAAAGATGATAGTATGGATATTGGTCCAGATGAAATTCCTACAGCTGGTGAAAAAGAAATATTGAGATATTATTATTATATACGCCATGGGGTGGACACTGTGCATGTCGCTCCCCTGGACCCAAAGCTTTTGGATACGGTAAGTCTCTCAGTAGCGAGTGCACAGGCCAAACAATGGTCAGCAGTGATTACTGTTTGTCTGAACCTTGTAAATTATGATCTTGAAGTTGCGCGCGCGAGTGGAGGGGGGTGTTTACGGCATATACCGCACTGGTGGGGTGGACAAACTTAACTTTATTTACACACACACTAATAGAAAAGTATAGGTAGGTACAGTCATTGTTTAAAAAAGTATTTAAACAATGGTACAGTGAAAAGTTTCAATGTGAATATTTGGCGAAATTAAAATATTGGAAAAACGCGGTTTGGAAAATTGCCATAGAGGTTGGAGGAATTAGAACCACCATATTTATGTCACGGAGTGAGTCACCCCTTAGGCGCCCCCTATTCCAATCGTTAAATTCAAATGACACCATCTCCTTTGTCATACCTTAAATTAAAGGTCTCATTGAGTGCGATGTTGTTAGTGAAAAATTCCCACATTATATTATTTGCATATGCGTCTCTGAAAGACCCGTTGTGTTGCGAAATGCGAACACTCCGTTTGGCTAGGGACTCCTTGGTTTTTAGCGCATTTTCCGACTCATGTTGGAAGGCGCTTAAATGGCCACTTTCTCCGTCTGTCCGTTCTAAGCCGTAGTTACTCCTACACTTTTGAAGATATTTAGTTCGTTCTTTTTGCATTCTGTAGCTAATAGGCTCAATCACGAAAAATATTGACGATTAGTGTGCCCATATGCGCAGCTGCGCAAAGTCAAGTTTCTTGTTCATTGAGATATATCTTTGAAATTGTAACCACAGATGCTTTTAGTAAAAACAAGCATATCGCATATTGTAAAAATCAGATATGCGCATGCGCAAATTGCGAAATGCCAACTTTTTTATTTATAAAGATAATTCTTGGAAATTTTAACCACAGATGCTTCTAGTTCAGACAAACATATCGCACATTGCAAAAATCAGATGTGCGCATGCGCAAACTGCGCAATATCAACTTTCTTATTTATGGAGATACTTCTTTGAAATTTTAACCACAAATGCTAGACGCTAGAAGTAAAGGCAAGCATATCTCATGTTGTAAAAATCAGATATGCGCATGCGCAGAGCCGCAAACGGCGCAATGTCAACTTTCTTATCTATGGAGATATTTCTTTGAAATTTTAACCACAGCTGGTTCTAGTAACATCAAGCGTATTGCGCATTATAAAAATGGCGCATGGCTAAACTGGACAATGTCAGCTTTCTTATTTATAGAAATTTTTTGAAAATTTTATCCAAAGATTCTTCTAGTAAAGACAAACATATCTCATACTTTAAACATCAGGTGTGGGTATCCATGCGCAGATTTTTTTTTCAATTTTTGAAATATAATATATACCTACATATATTCTAAGGTGTATACCAAACTGCTATTCCGCAGTTTTTTTTTGTTAATTTTTGACAAATTGCCCGTACTATACACAGCAAAACTGTTCAGATAGTTTTATCCTCGGTTAATCGAAAACTTATATTTTATTAAAATTGCAGGTTTTAGATTTAATACCTCCCAAGTTAAAGAAATGGCGTGAACTATTGAAGCAGAACGTGAACGATGTAAAGGAAGATTACATGCTGGCAATGAAAAAATCAATTGTGGATTTCCTTTTGCGCGACCCAAGCTTTTGCGAGTCGATCGTGGCAGATTTCGAGTCGTCCGCACGAATGGAAGTGCAACACGAAGGTCCAACGTGGGGACCTAATCGAAGAAAGGCCAAAACGGTTTTAGAAAGATGCCTATTTATAGTTAACCCCTGCTCCACTCAACTACTGGACCTTTGGTACACTCAGTTCAGAAACTTTCGGTTGATCGACGTGGATGCTTTGCGTAAACGCGAAGGGCCGTTCAACTTGGCGGACTTCCAATGGATAGTTGCGAAACAGATCGAAGGTTTTAAGGGCGTGCTAATAAATTCGTATTACAAGCAAGTTTACGATATATTTTCGTTGGGAGCTAAAAGAAATAAATTACCTAAAGCCGCATTTCCAAGGCGACTTAAGAAATTTTATAACAGCTGTGCCACATACATGACTTATAATTTGCAAACCCTGTGCTTGAAGTCGTTGTACGATTACATGGATTACATTACGGATATCAAAGTATGTGCAGTATTTATGCGACGATAAACTTAAATTTAACATTTTCAGTTTAAAAATAAGGGCTTCGATATCAATTTGGTAGAAAAAGGAGGCACGATTATGTTTGAACCCCCCTTTAAAAACTTTAAGGACGTACTTATAAAAGTAATAGACGCAATACTAGCAGCCGTAACGATACTACCCAGGCTGGAATCAAAGCTAGATCCAAACTTTCAGGGTGAAATTCAATATATAAGGGTACGTTCCTATTAAACACGAGCAGGTTGAATATTCTAACGCTATTTCAGCCGGTAATTCCTGCGGAGACAGTGGAAAACTATAAAAGGGAATTGAATTGCCTGTTAGATGATCAACGCATCGGCCCGGAGCTTAGAGTTCAAGATTTTGATGAATACATGCCTTTAATTAATGGAGAGGTGAGTAGGTACGTAGTTGTAGTTTTACAACTTGGGGTTGGACAACAAAAAATTATTACTTGCATAGGTACCTAACTATTTTTCTATATTCCAATTCGAACTTCCCGTTGCAGTAAAATGTTATATGTACCTATAAACAGCTGACTTGATCTATCTATTGTTAGCTTGTATTTAAAAAGCACCCATTCTGCATCTAAAGATGTTATTCTCTCCCCAAATAGATGTGCATCAGTTACTCCCCAGGAGGGGGGGGGGGGGAAAGGAACTTCCCCTTCCCAATTAATGAGAAAAAATCACCAAAATCTTTTGTTGGGGGTACGGTTATCATTCATAAAAAATATACACGGAACACGTTCAAGGAACAAACTTCCGTTGATCGACTTCTTCAGGAAAATCAAAATCACTTTGACCATAAATTGCCATCCAAAATTCCCAAAACGAACGCCTCTCTTTCTCTCGCATTGCTGTCGTCAAACTTGACCGCCTTGGTATCCCTCTCATTGCCAATGTAGCCCTAAACCGTTCTGTGCTAAAGCATGTCTTCCAAAGATCTTTCTTTCCTAGTACACAGAGAACCCTCCGATATTAATTTACCTCAGATGTACAACAGTAGAGAACTACCTACCCCAAACGCTTCGACTTTTGCCAATCCAGATTTTAATTCACTTCTGCCGATTTCATGTAAACCTTCCGATGCGGTTGGACACACGTGTCAGGCCTCGAATACTGACTTCTTGCCATTTCTTGTGAAGAAAGACATCACATCCTGTAGCCGTGTGGGGACAATAACCGCTGCGATTTGTTTAGATCTGGTAAAGGAGAAATTAATGCATACCTAGTGTTGAAATGAGGACGTGTACCAATGTTCAGTTTGGTCTTAATGTGTAAAGTGGGAAACATAAACACGTTTTCCGCTACCGTTGCATACCAAAAATTCTAATTACCTGCCAGTCAATGTCAGCAGGCAATGCAAAGTACCGAAAACAGGTAATAGGAAACAACGCTACACTATTAACTTCTATCTTTACGGTTCAGTAATACAAACATGTGAATAGATGTACGTAAGACAGCAGATGGTTGCGTCTCTGTAAGGAAAATAAAATACATGCGATGGACAGATGGACAGATTTGATAGCACCATATGTAATATTGTACCTAATGGTGTCTAGAAGTCGTGCGTAAAGTGGAACCATCTATTTATAAAGTGCAAAGTAAACATCCAATTTTGTCTCTTAGCAAGGCAGCAAAGTTCTATCCTTGTCGAGCGTCTGCTGCTGCGATCTCTAGCTAATAATTTAATTTAATTACCTACACGTCTTAATCCGAATCTGTTGCAGGCATTGGAAAATCTAAATAAATTTCTATCAGAAGAGCATACTTTTGATGAATACGTCGAAATGATAATACTATACAAGGAGATGTCAGAAAATATTCCGTTGGTCAAGGAGCACGTAATAACTATGGGGATGTACTATATTCACAGACCTGAGTTAATAAAAGCATTGGTGATGCTGGCTGAATCTCTCAAAGATCGACTATTGACACGAATGACGAACGATTATCAAACTTTATGCAAAGGGTACGTAATTATATGCTTCAGCATTGTACTGTAGAGCTAAGTCATCTTCATTTCATAACTCAGTAGAACTTAGGTACGACTTTTAATCAGGTTCATATTCAATAGCACAGACCGTAGAAAATCAGAATTGCCAGAGCTACGTATTTCCTACGACTTATTTTTCCACATCTTTTACTTCAAGAAATACGCCACAAAATGGCTACTAATCAATTCGATCATCTTTATTTGTTTAATCAACCATATTTATTTCTGTTCGCCAACCAAGACTTCTGAAAGGCAATTTTTCAGAAGACTTCTGAAAGGCAATTTTTCAGAAGTCGCTATACTGAGAGAAACCGATGTATTTAAATCTCTTTAACCATTAACTTTCTTCTATTACACTTTATAATTACAAAAACGGACAGTCTTTGGTACATCCATAAACACGGCTCCAACAAATAAGCCCGATCCCATCCAACGGCGAAAACACAGCGGTGGCGGCGAAGAGGCTAAAGGCGAACGGCAATAACCCCCCTTTTTTCCCTCTCTTATTGTCTCATTTTCGAGTCTACTTCCTAATTTTTAGTTAAAATTCTCTTACATAAACGCGCACCTTCGATAGCATCTGTTCACAAAATGAATTAAATTTTAGCGACAAGCGCAACTCTTATCTACGACCGGAGAAAAACATGAGATAAACTGTTTAAATATAACGTAAATCATTTTTCCTTATCTTATAAGACGTAATTTCTTTACAATTAAATAAACAAAATAAACAAATTATAATGCGGTTATAAACAAAAATCAGACATCTAAACTGGCAAGTCTCTCTCTAAACTACGTAAATTAACACAACAATGTTGTGTAATGTTTAATCCAAAGATTTCACACAGACCCAAAATCATCTCCACACCTAATATGGGAGAACTCACCCCAAAAACAACTTCAACTATTAAATTCAAATTGATATTGGGCCTAAACTTGTGTCCTAATTACTCTGAAAAATTCTAATTGAATAAATAACGGGTTCCCGTTATACACTTGGCGCAGAATTAGGGAAAGGCAGAGAGACAATAACAACTGGAAACTCGTTCAGGAAGCTAACATTTAACCAAATAGATAGAGAAAGCGGCATTTTAGCGACTGTCAGCTGCATTGACAAAGTGGGCGCAGCAGGCGCTGTGGCATGTGGGATAGATCGAGGCCTACGATACTTACAGGCCGGAGCGCTCGAAAAAGTCACGTGACGTTAGGAGTCATATGAAATACATTACGGCTTATGGAAAAACCGTGCGCGGCTCCACTATTTATTTTTTTACTCCGGATCCGTTCAACAGAGCCACGAAATTTCAATGAGAGCTTGTCAATAGTACACACAATCAAATTATGGTGTTCGTTAATTTTTAATAACACTAAAAATAATTAATTTTTAGGTTTAAAGTATTGAAGATAAAACGATGTTAGTAAATCCGCGTTTTTCTATCTTTACATCATCATATTTCTTTTTCTAGGAACTATATCATTATAATCCTTTCGGTGTCTTAAACTAGAATGATATGCGCCTCCAATTATGCGTATATGATGCCTAATCTGATATTAGTATAGTTTTAAAAGGCCCTACAAAATCGCGCATTTATTATCCGCGCAGAGAAAAATTCACCATGCGAGAAACTTTTTTGTTATTACTATAATTGTATCACATATATCGAATGAATTGTGACCAAAGGACACAAAAATGTTCTTCAGAAGGAATTTTTAAGAAATGGTCTCTTGTTTCCTTTTTTTCAGCAGCTGAAGTAAATAGCGCGATTTCAGAATAAGTGAACGCGCAAAGGAATTATTATGTTTCAAATAATTGTTAGTAATCGATTTTCAAATTGTGTTTGTGAGATTCAAGAGGAGTATTTTGCATCAAAGATTTTGTTTCGTCGTGTAATTTAGCAGAAGATGAGGCGATGTTAAATATAAGTATTGAAATATTCTAAGATTTAGAAAACGACACAACAGTTACTTCTGAAAACGAAAAAAAAACGGCACTGCCTATTCCTTACAAGCTGTACTTTTTACTAAAACTGCTGTAAGTTGGATAGAAAATGCTATTTTTTAAAACTTCCTTATTCAAAAGGCTATTTTTATTTATTCATAGAATGAAGATGAAAGCCTACGATACTTACCAGGCCTCTTAGGCGGACAAGGCAAATTTCCCATTTCACTTTAACACGAGAAGGTATAACTAAAATACTTTATGTACTGCAAAATTCATATTAACGAAGATATAAGATATACTCCATACTTTTGACTGATAATATCTTTAATTTTATAGTTTAATGTAAATTTGAATCTCACAAACACAATTTGAAAATGGATTACTAACAATTATTTGAAACATAATAATTCCTTTGCGCGTTCACTTATTTTTGAAATCGCGCTATTTACTTCAGCTGCTGAAAAAAAGGAAACAAGAGACCATTTCTTAAAAATTCCTTCTGAAGAACATTTTTGTGTCCTTTGGCCACAATTCATTCGATATATGTGATACAATTATAGTAATAACAAAAAAGTTTCTCGCATGGTGAATTTTTCTCTGCGCGGATAATAAATGCGCGATTTTGTAAGGCCTTTTAAAACTATACTAATATCAGATTAGGCATCATATACGCATAATTGGAGGCGCATATAATTCTAGTTTAAGACACCGAAAGGATTATAATGATATAGTTCCTAGAAAAAGAAATATGATGATGTAAAGATAGAAAAACGCGGATTTACTAACATCGTTTTATCTTCAATACTTTAAACCTAAAAATTAATTATTTTTAGTGTTATTAGAAATTAACGAACACCATAATTTGATTGTGTGTACTATTGAGAAGCTCTCATTGAAATTTCGTGGCTCTATGTTGAACGGATCCGGAGTAAAAAAATAAATAGTGGAGCCGCGCACGGATTTTCCATAAGCCGTAATGTATTTCATATGACTCCTAACGTCACGTGACTTTTTCGAGCGCTCCGGCCTGTAAGTATCGTAGGCCTCGGTAAAGGTCGCTTTTAGGATTAAGTAGGTAGGTACTTTAATAACGTTCAAAAATTCAAGCTATTGTAAAATATGTTCCTCTTTGAAATGGCAAAGGTAATAGAATAGTATCCTTGGTTATGGGTTGATTTTTCTCTTAACTAACAAGCTATATTCCAATTGGAAATTGGAAGATACTTAAACTCTTAGTAGATATGTTAATGCAAGATCGCAAGTGGACTAACTCTCTCCATAAATCTTAAATTGGATTAGCAATGCAACGGACGCCATCTAACATCAATGCATGATAATCAAGGTATGAATATTCCACTTTACAAAACGGACTCGCATGCATTTAAATGCATATTGAGCTACCAAATTGAATTTGAAATTGGAATTCTGAATATCGCTTTGAACTTTGAACGCGCAAGAGAGCCAAATGCAAATGTATTTCTTTCTTCGGCTTACAGAAGTCAAAGTCGGCGTCGAAAAATTAAAAGTCGCCCCCGACGAACGAGGTGTCGGTTTAATTTGTCAAGCTGGATGTCAAGCAATCTGGCCGAAAAGGGGCCCCCCCTTGATTAGCCACACTATCGCGGAACGGGGGACTCTCAAAGTCTTAATTAAATCTCAAAGGAAGGAAGGAAAAGTCCTCGAATGCCGACTCGAACCTAATTGATTGGCGGACCGACGATTGGTTCTGCGGCGGACAACACTCAACATTGACATTGAAAGATTAAAATCGTCCATTTTAGTTTAGAGTATCCGAGACATCTTTGTATCCAATATTTTATGGACATTTATTTACAGTTGAATTCGCGTTCGGCTCGCTCCATTGTAGTAGATGAGGCGGATCGATCACGACCCGGATTAGCGGTCTTCCCTCGAGTCAGAATAATGAATTTACTGTATTACGACCGCTTTAAATACTTAATGCCTGCTATAATACACTCTTATCGATTCGCGACGTGCGCGTCCGAAAAGCGTCCTTTTACGACTTGTACAATGAAAAAAGTGCGTGCAACGCTGAGGAGCGGCGGCGGCGGCGGCATCCTGCAAGTTATCTAACTTCGACGAAATTCATTTCATTTATCTTCTTCACGGTTGACTGGTGCTACCCTGTTCGTCTCGTGTCGGTAATATTCCCCTATCACTCTTCTTCATATACGCGGCTACAACTACCATTTTAACCCCTTATCCAACATGTAGATCACACGTCCCTCTCATTACCATACGGTGGAAAGTCAACGGGATGAACACTTGTGCTGATTTCCCTCGCATGAAGCAACTGTGAACGATATTCAATCCTTGCCCTTCCGCTTAATCTGAGATTTGAATGATGAGTTTCACAGTAAAGTTTCGTTTTTAACCACAAATTTCGTGCATCATCATACCAGTGGCGAATTATTACCGGTCAGTTCATTATTGCAATCATCATAACCGAAAGATTGAATCACGTTCACAATATTTTAACCGTGGCCTATTCAGCTTATTTATAAGCAACTTTTGCGTGTACAATATACACAATATATATTTATATGTTGTTACACAAATAGACATTTACTATAGGTATCATTTAGTGGTGATGTTCTTTGTAAATAAAAACCACCCCTATGCCTTTCCCTTACTGTAACATACAATCTATCTATATATTTGGGACAACGTTACCAGGGTAAAGAGAGACCTTAAAATGAAAGCGCTCAATTCGATTGAAGAAAATGTTGATATTGTCAATTGGTATATAGTGTCGGAAACAGTTTATTTTCTGTGAAAAGTAGACATAGGAAAAAAACAATACGGGTAAATCCCTATGTCTTAATTTCTTAATCTTAATAAATATCACTGTAGATATGGCCATCAATGTTTTCTCATTTTTTGACGCTGATCCAACCTCGTCCACTAATGATGCTGAAAAACGTTTCGGTCTATCGTGTTCATCCATTTATAGGATCTAAAGTCCCTGGATCTACGAATGGATCTCAAATTCAGTTTTTTTAATGGCTATATGAAGTTACAGTCTTTAGTTCATTACAAACCTAAAATTACAGTAGAAACTCTTGTTCTGGGAAACAAACGACCCTAGAACTAATTCGAGATTGGTGAACTAAAAACCTTTACCATAAAAATTAAATAATGACCGCCTTTAGTAACGCTCAGCTAAAAATTGAGTGAGAATTTTGGTTTAAGCGACCATATTTAAAAATCATCGTGAGTTAGCTTACAAAAGCGGACATTTGCCCCTATAAAAAGCAGTTCTCCCAGTGAAATTAGTTAAAGTCGATGTTTTTCTGGAGAAAGGAAATTTTGCGCGATATTTGTAAAAAATGATACAAAGTAAAAATGTTGGCATAATTTACAATTTAAAAAATTTACCATTTGTACTGTCAACCACTTTTAGTTGGAGGATGCGATTATCAGACGCACCAAATAAGAAATCAACGGGAAAATTACCTCTTTTTGTGTTACTCGTAAATTTTTACAGATAAATAACACAAAACTAAATATTCTGGCATAATTTCGTCCATATTACCGCTAAAATTTCAAAATTTGACCACTTGTACTCTCAATCACCTTCAGTTGGAGAGATGCGACTATCAGAAGAATTGACGCGAGATTATCTTCCATGGGGTACCATCAAATTTTCCGCAAATGTTTCATACACAACCGTTCTTAGGGCTGAAACCCACCCCCTACTTTTTCCAGAAAACTACTATGACTGTTGTTTTTGCGGATGAAATAGAAAATAAGGCTTGGATTTGTCACAAATAGTATAGCACAAGGTATGAAAAGGCGGGGGAGTCAAGACACATTCTATAAGAAAATATTAATTTTGGGGCGCAGAATCCAAAACGATTCGTACTTTTTCGATTAGACTTCTCAATCAAAAGTTATGGACCAATTTCGAAAGAATATTCAAAGGGCTGTAACTTTTGAACTAGTAGCCCAATCTTGGAACTGTTTGAAATTATTGATTCTACAGGCCACATTCTATAAGAAAATCTTTTTTCCCGGTCGATCAGACACAATTTTTTTTTCGGGGCTCAAAAAAAGCAGGTTATAACCTTCCTTTTTTATCAAAAATCGACTGCACCAAAATTTCTCGGGAAAACACTTTGTCTTATTAATTTTGGGGGGCAAAATCCAAAACGATTCGTACTTTTTCGATTAGACTTCTCAATCAAAAGTTATGGACCAATTTCGAAAGAAAATTCAAAGGGCTGTAACTTTTGAACTAGTAACCCAATCTTGGAACTGTTCGAAATTATGGATTCTACAGGCCACATTCTATAAGAAAATCTTTTTTCCCGGTCGATCAGACACAATTTTTTTTTCGGGGCTCAAAAAAAGGCAGGTTATAACCTTCCTTTTTTACCAAAAATCAACTGCACCAAAATTTCTCGGGAAAACACTTTTTCTTATTAATTTTGGGGCGCAAAATCCAAAACGATTCGTACTTTTTCGATTAGACTTCTCAATCAAAAGTTATGGACCAATTTCGAAAGAAAATTCAAAGAGCTGTAACTTTTGAACTAGTAGCCCAATCTTGGAACTGTTTGAAATTATGGATTCTACAGGCCACATTCTGTAAGAATGGAAGGAAGGAATAATAGTGTCGATATTTACAAAAGAGGCGCTAAAGATTGTATGGAAAATTATAGGGGAATCACGATAATAACGATGGCGTACAGAATATATGCAATGGTATTGAAAGAGAAATGGAAGAGAAGAGGATGCTGGAGGAAACAAATTCAGGATTCAGGAAAGGGTAAGAAATGATCGACTGTATATAGGATGTTACGAAATTCGTGCCCTTAATTCTGAGACCAAACTGAATAGAAAACCCTTTGCGATCAGGTTGCTAAAAAATGAGAAAGAAACGAAAAATTTGCGATAGTTGTTACAAGTTTGTGAAAATTTGTTAGTCGCCTACTTTGATAAGTACAATCCATGAGATATGCGGCTGATATTTTGGCGTTAGTGACTTTAGTGAATTTTCACCTTCATTTCTTTCTTAATTTTTCTGCACCCTTGTATCTTCGAAAAGTATTTATGTCAAAAGTGACCCATTTTCCGCGGGCGCAAATTTCGTAATACCCTGTGTATGTACCACAATTTGGTGGAAAAAGAATGGTAAAACATGGCGGAAAGATAATAGCGTTTTTCTTGGATTTAAAGGTAGTGTTTGACAAAGCGAAAAAGGAAAAAGTATGGAAAATGGCGACAGGTGGGAAAATATACTAGAAGCTAAAGAATAAAGGAATTGGACAACGGACAAGAGTGAGAGTAAGGATAGGAGTTTGTAGTGTTAAGGACAAGTAAAGGATTGAGACATGAATGCCGGATGCCCAACCTTATTTAGTAGCTACATAAAGGGATATGGAAAAAATATTAAAACATGGTCAATGTGCAGAGCGAAAACGGACGTCCCTGGCTTATGTTGACGACAGTAATAATGGCAACAAATGCGGAGTAGATTAAGGAAAAAAATGCTATGAAAAAAATGAATACATTGATACACAACAGAGAGGGTGAAAGGTTACGAAAACACAGTAGGTATACAAGGAGTTAATAAGTAAGTCATTCATATCTTGGACACACTGTACATTGTACAACAAAGTATCATCTATTTCGCAAATCGTTTTTCTTCGGCTTCAGTTTTTTTTAACCTTGTGGATTGATTTTTGAACTTTTTTTGTTAGGAAAGTCGGTTAACAATCGATAAGGGAAATCTACAAATTATCTCAGTCGTAACATATTGAAATTCGGACCTAATCGCCCCCCCCTAGGTTTTTGGGCAAGCCATTATCAATACATTTTCAACATTGTTGCATCCAGATGACGCAACCATAAATAAGGATGCGAAAAACATCTGATTTCGACGAACATTGTCTTTGGGGTTTCGGATTTGGATATTTAGAAATAAAATGGCAAATAACGGAATGAACGAGACATTTTCAGAATTCTTTTTTGAACGGTTCCAAAGTTTTTTCAGTTAATAACAGCTCATTTCTTTTTAAGTTTCAACGTTACTCAGAGAAAAACGTCATAAACCAAAAACACTATTAAAAAGCGTCACATATTCATTGTGATTACTCAAGAACTACCTACAACAATCGTAAAGACTTTTTTGTACCAAAAATTTGCACTACTGCACTACTTCCAGACAAATCTCCTAAAGGGAAACGTGTCCCGTTTATATTAACCCATGATTGGCTTAATACCCCAGAAACGAAATTCTTGAACTTTTTTACTGACACTTTTACAATAAACTTATTGCAAAGAAAAATTCTGTACTTCTCCCACAAAAATAAATTTAGGTCGTAAAGAATCATGCGAGATCCAAAAAAAGTCAGTTACCTGTGTAATTAAATGAGAATTGTTCGTTATAAATGTGTCGATATATATGAGGTTTTTAAAAATAACTTTCAAATTTAACTCAAAACTTACCCCCAGCGGCTTAAAAAGGGGAAGAAAGTGCCAAGAAGGCTTGCACTACAATCTCACCCACTCGCCTTTACTCTAAAACCTACATTCTTTTCGGCTATAGCGATTTATACACGCAAATACATGACGCATCAATTTATCACTCGTATGGTCAGGCGCTTATCTACAATACAATACTTTTAATTTGAAGGAAACTTTTATTGGAATTATAAAACCGATGATTTTGTTACATGTACACCGTTTTGTTGTTTGATCGGAACACTCAGGAATTTTTTCGGGGAGCGCATATTTTCCCGAGAAAAGAATTTCCTATGGGGAGAGTTTTTGTCAGCCAAAAAGTGTAGGTCTCTAGGAATACCTCAAGACCAGTGAAGAAATGTACTAATAATTTGATTTCAACACTAAATTTTCATTTCAAACCAGTTCACCCTCGAGATCACCTTCTGGACTTTATCCCACCGTAATATTTGCCCTCAAAATAATTATCCCCACGAAATGCAATGCAGCACCTCCTGAACGTACTTGGGAATCTAGGTTAAATATAAATAGAAAAATCTTATTACTTTGAATTTGCCAAAAATGTTTTTTGGGCCCTCTTCTTGAACATTTCCAAAAACCGCAAA